GCCCGGTAAACCTTCAATAGAAATAAAGCGTTATGAATCAAATATTTTGTCAGCCATATTTTCCATGAACACTTTGCCGCTTTTGGCCGACTGGCTAACCTTTTGTTGGCTGAGAACAGAGTTGGCTGAAAAACAGCAGCACCCGCCTAACAATTTGCACCTTGTTAACACAAAACAAATTCTTAAATTTGCAATTGCAATTTGCAAATTGGCTAATGAATGCGATTGCCAAGTGACATTGTTGTTCCGCATTGGCATTGGCATTAGCATTAGCATTAGCATTAGCATTAGAATGGGAATTGCAATTGGAATTGAAATCAAAATCGATTTGGAAAAGCCGAAATGTGGGGGAGTTTTGAAATTACAAGCGACTAGATCGAGATGGAGATCTCAATGTGATTTGCCAATCGCTGCCAGCTGCTGTTCTGCTGTTCTGCTGTTTGATGTTCTGTTTTTGTTTATTTGTTTGTTTGTTTGGACTTTTGGTTTACATAAAGTCCAGCTATTACCTACGATTAAACCAGAAAACTAAAACTAAAACCAAAGCCAAAACTGACCCGCTCAAGAGAGCTGCCTGGAATGCGTAAACACGAGCGCCGGGCGAAAGGCGCAAAACAATTAAAAAGCCATAAACAACCGAAAAGCCAAAAAGTCAAAAACAATGCGATCTGTGCAATCTGCTTCTGCCATCCATCCATATAGGAAAATTAAAGAGGGACGGGACGTTAAGGGGAACGCTTTTCTCGACAGACTCCTCTCTCTGTGTGTGGTTGTTTATTTAATTGAGTTGAGTAAACAAAAATCAAAAAGCCAAAAAACCAAGAAAACAAAAACGAAGCACAGGGGCCACTTAAAAATTATTTGCACATTTTTGCGGGTGATTTGTTTTACGAGCAGGGAGAGAGTTAAACGAAAAAGCCATCACACAGATCACTCATCGGGAAGGGAAATATATATTTTTTATATACAATAAGGAAAAGCAAAGAAAATCAAACAGAATTATGATAATAACAAGTTAATGGCTTTACCTTGGCCCAATTTTATTGCCTAATTAATCATTAGTACTTAGCCAGCCTGGTCTATAACCATAAAAGCCAAGCACTTAATATAAATCAAGCACTGTTTACAGCACCTTTCTGTGTATCCTCAATCGCCACCTTAAAGAATATCGAAAAATTGGGTTAACTTTCGCAACATTTTCGGTTGATTTCCACAATTTTCTTGGATTTTTGCTTATTGTTTTCCAATCTCTAGAGACGGCCGCCTGGCAAATGACTGGAAAAGGGCAAAGTAAATATTGCGCAGCCAAAGCCAAAGCCAGAGCTAGCCCCATCATCAAGTATTAACCCCTCTGTTTTCGGATGGATCCCCGCTGGCATTATCATCTTGACACGTGCACGCGCCGCGTTTTGTGCGCGTTTTTAAACGCCACCATATTTGGGTCTTTGTCTTAGGAGTCACTTTGTCGTCTCTCGTTTTTCTTTTTTTTGGCGGATCAAGAAATCAGCATTTAAGGGGTTAAGGGGCGGGCTCTATATGCCATGTTTGTATGGAGATCCGATCAATTGACGATCATTTAAGACGATCAAAAAATAAATAAAAAAAAAAAGCGAGAAAAAAATGTAGAAAAGCTGCCAAAGCTGACCAATTTTAGAATCTTCTGCGATTCCACTTCAAATCGAACAGAATTCACACTCGTTTTTTGGCATCTCTATAAAGCGTTTATTATTTATTTATTATGCTTGCTTTGAGAGCTTTCAAAGAGACAAAAATACAAAAAAAGAAAAAGGGCAGAGCTGCGTGGGTGTGTCCAGTTTAATTCTCTGCCACCGATCAACCATGAACCCAGGTCTATAGCCAGCCAATCTGCCCGTCTCCTCTCTATATGATCATCATCATCATCATCATCTACGTTGTGATCATCGTTTGTGACCTTTTAAAGTTCAGTTAACCAAGTGCTGGACACTTTTTACTACTACCCATAATTACTATAAACACTAGCGGTCATAAAAATAATTTAATTAAAAAACAAATAAAAGCGATTGTTCAGATTGTCATATATATATTGCATATATACTATATATATGTGATTGGGATTTAATTCAAAATAATTGCTTAATAAGCTCTATGAGATGGAGGTGGTTTATGTTTGGGTTGCTAATCAATATGAGTTGTTAATCGTTGGTAGATATTAACTAAGATTGGAATAGTTTGTCAGACATAGCTGTAAGAATTCCACACCCACGCCGATTTCCACCGATTTCGTACCCTTTAACTTTGACTTAAGCCGACGACGGCTTCGTCACCGCCAGCGTCCCAACTGTAAACAAAACAAAAGACGCAAAAATCCAAAACCAAAAAGTCGTGCCAAAAGCATTTCAACTGTCTTACGTAACGGACAGCCAGCCAGCCAGCAATGAGCAAAAAGAAGAAGATAAAACTAAAATACAAAACAGAAGAGCAGATAAAATTCCAAAGGAAAAGGAGGGGAGTAGAAGAGGGCAATAACTTTATTACGATCAGAAAAGACCTTGCCCAATTAGGCAATGTTTGTTGTTGTTGCTTTTTCTGCCAGCTGAGGAGTGCAAAAATTGTAATTTAATTAAAATTTATGGTAATGCAGATAGAGAGAGAGAGAGAGATGATCGAAGCATTGTGTACCCTGGAATGTATACCATTCTATAACCAAGTCCACTCTGGCAACTGGCTATAATATAATGTCTTTGAAAATAATCTATATTCCGATCTTATATGCAGGCCAAAACTACTCCAATCATAAATTGTAGAACATTATGCGTGCCCCCACATGATGATGACGATGATGATGATGATTGCATATTCTCTCATGCAACATTGTTGCATTTTGTTTATTCAAATTGCGTATGCAAATCGCCAGGCTAATTAAATCAAATGAAAACATGATTTCCATTTGGGATTGAGTTTGTGGCCAATGCGACTTCCTTCCATATGTTTATGTTTTCAGTGGCAGTTGCAGTTGCACTAGCAGTTGCATGTGTGTGGTGGCAAGAAGGCACTACTCGGCCAGCAGCGGGCTTTAAATATTTCAATTTGATGTCGGGACAACTTGTATTTTATGATCCCGCAACACTAGACATTTTGTTTGTTTGTTTGCTTAGTTGCAGTTGCACAGAAAGACTGCCCCAAATGCTAAACACGGCAGCCAGCTTTAGTCGTGGGTGCACAGGGAGAAAATCCTACTAAAGAAGGGTATTATTAGGTAAAGGTATTTCCTTATATATATCCTACTTATTAGGGTAGATAAGAACCACTGACTGTTTAACCCATTAACTTTCAACTTCCTGGACTTTTCTCTCTCTGTAAGACCAGACAACAAATGTCACTGGAGGAGCTGGTGAAAGCGGGAGGGCAAATAGACATAGAAAGACAGGAGCGCCCGAGTCCAAGTCAATGTTTGTTGTTGTTCCTGTTGTCGTCTGTCCGCTGTCAATGTCAAGGAACGAGACAGAAACAGTTACCAGAGACAGGGGAGAGAGGGGGGCAGCAGCTTTAAGGGGATATGGAGAACTTTGGCTGCCGGAACGCAGACACACAGAACTTGACAGCCAAAACGCCCGAAGGAGGGGGGGGGCGCAGGGACGGTGTCGCGATCTCCGCCAAAGGGGGCAATTAGAAAACCAGTCCGGCGGTGAAGGCGACGACGGCCAAGAGCTGCTCATTATTGATGGCCAGCCGAAGAAGAAGCCCCTTCGAGATCGGAGGAGCTCATTAGCTAAGTGACGGCGATGGACAACCAAGAGCCCATAAAAATCAGGAAATATTTGTGCGTGGGAATCTCTTCAGTACACTCTCCCAGATGCAATTTGAAGGCTTTCGATTGATAGATAATTAACTTTGAAATTATCGATAAATTCGATAGCTAACTTTGTAATTACTTAATTTTTGTACTTTGAAGTTGATATTTTCTTGAAGTTTATCTTCAGGTTTTCAATACTCATAAAGATTTTAGACAGCAAACTAATGATATCGATAAAACCGATAACTAAAGTGATAGAAAGAGCATCTAAATTGGGTTGTAATCGAAATGCCTGGCTCCCTTTTAACTATTCCCATTCCCAAACCCATTTAACTGATCGAGACTTGCGTGATCGCCTTCTTGGCAGGGCAGGAAGAGGTGGGTAGGTGGGTGGCGGGGCATCGGTAAGTCTCTAAAAGGGGCATGAGGAGCCACTGGAGAAGCAGCTGGTCAACTATTTGGTATGCCAGCTTTGTCACCAAAGATTCTTTCTTCTTGGCTCCTGTTCTTGGTCTTGGTCTTGCTCCGCCAGTTGCCTGATGTTGCTTTAAGTGTTGGCAATAGTGTTGCTGTTTTAGTTGTTTGGTTGTTTGCCCGCTGCCTGCTGCCGGTTGCCCGTTGCCGGAAGCGCAATTGCTTCATTATAGCACGTACTTTGTCAAAAGGCGTCGCGTTGAGTCACTTTATGTTCGATTTGTGCACTACAAGAAAATATTTAAATAGATTAGAGATATAAATAGAGAATAATGATTGAGTCTAGACTTGGAAGTTTGATTTCTATATTTTAGGATTATATTCTTTTCTAATACAACGCCACCTGTTGGTTAAATAGGTTTACTTAATGTCATTTTAGTTTAGCTTTAAGTACTAAGCAGCTTTCTTCTGGCTAAAAATCATGATTAAAAATTCTAGAAAATGTCCAAAATCAGGAACTATCTTTATAAAATAGTTTCCTTCATTCCAGACTAATATCCAGTTATAGATCTATAATATTTTTTTTAGTGCTAAGATTCTTGACCAGCGTTCGTTTTCTCCACTCCACAACTCGGCCCAAATCCACTTAACTTATGAATGAAAAATGATCGGAGCTGGGGGTCTGCTGGCCGCACGCACTGTGTGGGCTGCGGTGGTCGTCGTAACAGAAACCATTGGCTAATCCCCCCCACCTAATTTGCCATTCCACATTACTATATATATCTATCTATCTCTGTCTATCTATTTGCAGGGGCAAATTCGCCGCCGTTCGCCGCGCCATCCACAAGAACACGGGCTCGCACTTTGCGGCAAAGTTCCTGAAGCGGAGGCGTCGGGCGCAGAGCAGTGACAAGGAGATCAAGCACGAGATCGCGGTGCTGATGCTCTGCGAGGGCGAAGACAACATCGTCAACCTCAATGCCGTCCACGAGACGCGCTCGGACACAGCACTCCTGCTGGAGCTGTAAGTATATCCAAAGATATATCCCAAAAAAAGGTATTAATATGTACTTATCCGGGTTACAGGGCCACTGGTGGTGAGCTGCAGACTATCCTTGACAACGAGGAGTGCCTGACGGAGGCGCAGGGCCGCCACTGCATGCGCGAGGTGCTCAAGGCGCTGAAGTTCCTGCACGACCGCTCCATTGCCCATTTGGACCTCAAGCCGCAGAACATCCTGCTCGCCGGCGAGCGCATAGAAGGTGAGTATTTCTTATTAATAATATATTTATATATTATTATAAAATTATATATTTACAGATGGATTGAAGCTGTGCGACTTTGGGATCTCGCGAGTGGTGTGCGAGGGCATCAATGTGCGGGAAATGGCTGGAACACCCGACTACGTGGCTCCCGAGGTGCTGCAGTACGAGCCGCTGTCCCTGCTGACGGACATCTGGTCAGTGGGCGTGCTCACCTATGTTCTGCTATCCGGATTCTCGCCCTTCGGCGGCGACACCAAACAGGAGACCTTCCTCAACATCTCGCAGTGCGCCCTCACCTTCCCGGACAATCTCTTCGGCGGCGTTTCACCGGTGGCCATCGACTTTATCCGTCGCGCATTGCGAATTAAGCCAAAGTGAGTGTTTGGTTATTCTAGGGGGTGAAGGGGTTAGGTTAGAGCACTGAAAAGATTACTTTTTTCGTGGATTAATAACTTCTTAATGATTCCCAATGAAACTTACACAATTTGCTGATTAAGAACAAGGGAATTTAAACCTTTTCCGTTGTTTTTTTCTGGCTTGTTGTCAGAGGATTTCCTGTACGTGTCTTTTGATTTATTATTTATTTTTTATTTAACAAAACAAAATAAAATGAAATTAAGTTGAACCCATTCGTATATCAAAGTCAAACAAAGACTAATAACATATATCTTCTCCTAAAGCGATCGCATGAGTGCCGCCGGCTGCTTGGAACACATCTGGTTAAAGGACGACTGCTCCCTGGACAGGCAGATCTATCTGCAGCCCCAGAGCGATGCCGAAGAGGAAGAGGAGGAGGAGGAGGATGATGACGAGGTGGAGGATGAGGAGGAGACCGCTGAGGAGGAAGAACAGACCGTGCAGGAGCCAGCGACAGAGCCAAACCAACAGCAGCAACAGCAACATCAGCAGCAGCAGCAGCAGCAGCAACAACAACAACCTGTCCAGCAGCCACAGCAACAGCAACAGCCGCCCCATCAGCTAGCCAAATCCTCCGGCAGCCACAGCAAACCGACGCACAACGGCCACCATAGGGCGAACAGCAGCGGCAGCATCTCCAAGATACCCATTGCCACCAGCAAGCTGCTGAGCAGTCCCAGCTCAGAGACCACCACGGCCATCCACACACTAACCAGCAATAGCAATGCCAATGGCCACGTTCACAAGCCAACCCAGATTGTGACGCCGACGCGACGAGCCTCAGATTCGGACAAGGAGAACACATATACGGCCACGTTTGTGAAGAAGCCAGTCGCTGCTATCCTACTGGGCAGTTCCAATGGCATCGAAGATGCCACAGTTGTAGCCACACTCAACCTGTTTCCCGATGCACCCACTACGCCCAAAGTGATCCGCAAGACGCCGACGGGTGAGTCGAATGGTTCGGCCACTTCTGTTAAGGCTCTGGTCAAGAAATTCCAACTGGAGGACTCAAGCGGTTCGGCAATCTCCAGACGCAGTGGCGGAACTGTGACCAGCGGCAGTGGCCTGCATTCGCCAACGACAGCATCAGTCAGGATGAACAGCATTCGTCGGGCCTCCGAGCCGCTGACCACGGTCTACAAGAAGCAGACCCAACAGAATGGATGCAGCAGCACTTCGAGTTCGAGTCCGAGTCCCGGCAGCAGTCCCACCACAACCGGCAGCACCGCCACCCTGCTGATCCATAGCCAGCGTTTGGCCAGCAGCACAGCGCCCGCCAGTCACTGTGCCGCTCCAGCAACAGCCACAGCCACCTCCTCCGCCAGCAGCAGCAACAACAACAACAGCAGCAGCAGCACCACCAGCAGCAGCAGCTCAGGGAAGACACCGAGTGCCGCCCACCATCTGCACCATCATCACATGCACCACCATCACCATCATCACCACCATCATGTGGTGATTGCGGCAAAGAATGCCGCCGCCGTTGCCGCCACCAACAACTTGAGCCTGGATCAGGGTATCATCTGTTAGCTAAGGGCCAGCCGGGCCAGCCGCAATGCCAAAAGTTTCTTTCATCGCTTCCTGTGCTGTATGTAACCACCAGATGCCATGGCTACTACCACGACCACTACCACCACGCCCCCTCCCCCGACCACCGCCCATTGGCAGAAGGCGACGAGGAGTGGCTGCGAATCACCTAGCTGCAGGATCACTAGGTGGCAAAGTGGCGATTTAAGGAGCTATGGCAATGGAAATGGATCGGCAGCGGTGGATAGCCGATGGAAATGGAAAGGACTAGGAAACGGTAATGGTAACGGTAACGGGAACGGGAACATGAACTGGAATTGGAATTGGTGCTGCAGCGGTAGATGGAAGTGGTTATGGAAATGGAAGTTGAAGTGGAATTGGAAGTGGAGAGGGGATCATGCGCCACACTGGCAAGACGACGAGGATGCATTGATTTTGATTTGAGCTTAGTTTAGTTAACGTTTTACGACGGCCTTAGCATCTATGTGCAGGAGTTCACAGCAGAATCACGGTTGCCACATGAAGACTCCTTAGCTTAGACGAAGGACATTTGATGAGCATTATTATTTTCGTACCAAACTTCACATTTTTATAAGTTCAAATAATGTTTTAATTGATGTAGTAAAAATAAACTACATAATCCGGACTTGTTCGGTGGCAACCGTGACTGGGTGACCCGCAACATCCCCCGCCCCGCCCCCGCCCCCACACACACACACACACACACAAACACACACACACTAGAAAAAACGAAAAACAACTTAGCTAAAGTCACGAGAATGCAAAATGTTCGGGGAAAAAGTGAAGCAAAACGAAAGAGATGAAAGATATAGTTTAGGGATCGAACGGAGGAGCAGTGTAGAGTAAGCTGATTTCAACGGAATTTTTGGTAGACATATCATCCATGTTTGTTATGCGTTTAGAAGGAAACACAAAAAAAAAATGTAAGGAGTAAAAAATTAAAGTTAGAAGCTGGAAGAAGAGTACGAAAGAAGAAAGTTCATTGTTTCAACGAATATATATAAATGTCAATTTCTAGCCAACAAGGCAAGCAAGTAAGCCCTCTTTTTGGCCTAGCATAAATTATACAACTATATATACATTATCTATATACATATGCATACACATATAGACTATATACAGAGCATATATATGTACCAAAAAAAAAAAAAAAAAAGAAAAGAAAAGAAGGAAAAGAAAAACAAACAAACAATTATAATAGGGATAAACGGCAGTTGAAAGCCCGCCATTGGTTATGTAGAGCGTTTGTTAATCGGCCAATCAGTGCATCCATCAATCAGATGATGATAATCAATCATATAGCATACAGTGTTATTCGCGTAGAGGGAATGAGAATTTAGAGAATGTTACAAGCCAAGCAAAATTGTTAATCGTGTGTGTATCGGTGTGTGTTCAATCGTTCAATCGTTCAAATCGTTGCATAAATGTTGCCTAGAATACATTACATTACTTAGAAGAAGAAGCCAACATGGATCATATAAGAAAGAGTACATCTAGAGGGAGAGAACTAACTGCTTAACTCACCCGTAGGCCCCCCCATTTACCATTCAATCCGATCCTAATCCTGATTCCGATCCAGATCCCAGCTTCCCCAGTTCTCCTCGTTTTAAGTCGGTTTTTGTATATATTTCCAGAAAGCAGAATGCAGAGTGTAGAATGCAAAGTGCAGAATGCTGAATGCAGAATGCAAAATGCAAAATGCAGCCAGCAGAGCATATATAATTAAATGTAATTCTTTTTTTTTCGATAATCATATCTTAACGCTTGATATACGAGTTGTATTTATTAGGCAAAACGTTTGTGTGGTCGGCGATCGATGGAGGGTCAGTTAATTGTTAAAGAAAATTGCTTAATTTATCGTAATCGATTACCCTTTTCTTTTATATTTAATACTTGCGTGTACTTCTCTTAATTACTATGATTATTTTTTTTTTTTAATACACCTAAACCACTTATTTGTGTTTACTGTATATGTACATTAGTAGTTAAAAAGAAAAAGGCGAAGGCTTTTTTCAGAGCCAGCAACCAACCAACATATAAAATAAAATCTGCGCCAGATGGAGCGAGAAGTGTGTTTTAATTTTTAGTAATTTCAATTGATTTTTTTGTGTTTAGAGAATCTATTTCTATGAGAAGACAAACAAAGATGCAAATTCTATTATATATTATATTATATAGTAATTATTTTATAGATAACTAATTTAAAATATATTCAATAAAAACCACAAAAAAATATTAATATGTCGATTTATTTACTTGTGCCTCTGTTAACGTAAATTCAGAAGTATGCAACAGAAATGAAGGCTGCGGCTTGTTAAATTTGTGGTAACTTTTTAAGATTGTGGAATACTTTTGGGCATCTAAGTAAAATATTAAATGAAATTGACATTTTTGTCGGGTGCTTGGTTTTCATATTGCATAGCCTTTAAAATCTGTAACATACTTTCAGGCATTTGATTAATAACCATTTGGGTATATTTATTTAAATTGTGTTAGTTCTTTTAAGCCGAACCATACTTTTGGGCAGTCAATTGATGACCTCCAATAAGTTTGTACTTTTGTATTGCATCTTTTAGGCGTTGCGTTGTTTTCGTTTTTCGAATATCCACCTACTATGATTTCTGTTCGCCTGGTATTTCATTTCGAGAAACCTACAGATTTTGGCCGCATCTCAACTCGGGAAAAGGCAATTTGGTTGGTTTCCGATTTTTTTTACCAGGCGAACAGAAATCGTAGCAAGGTGCTTCTTTTATTTTCAGCTGCCACCTGTCCACCTTCTGACGATTATGATCTCCTGGTATTTTTTCACAAAATCGTCCAAATTGGTCCCTGAAAAGTCATTTTTCATCGTAAAATTGGCAATTTTGGGAGTTCAGATACCAGGCGAACAGAAACCGCAGCAAGCAGCTTCTGTTTTCTACGAGATTAAATATTTTCAAGATGGCTGCCACTGGCAGCCATCATTTTTTTTAGAAACAACCGTTGCTTTGCTACCAAAACAACAAAATAGAGATGTGCAACCACGTTGTTTACCATATCGTATCACGAGTTTGGCACGACAATCACGAAATAATAATAAAGTCCCATGTAATTGATTCGATCGTGCCGAAAACCACTACTCACATGGCCATCTCTAAGTGAAGCTCATAGATATATCGATTTCCACCTACTACTCGATTCTGTTCGCCTGGTATTTTAAAGGCATCAGCTAGCCAAAATGCGTTGAAATTTTGATCAGAAAATAATTTTTTCTCAGTCAAATTGATAATTTTGGGAGTTCAGATACCAGGCGAACAGAAACCGCAGCAAGCAGCTACTGTTTTCTGGGAGCCTGTGTTTTTTTCAAGATGGCTGCCATTTTAAGATGGTTGCCACTGCAGACCAAAACATAAACAAGAGATGAGCAACCACGTTGATTTCTGTGTCGTCTCACGACTTTAGCACGAAGGGCACGAAAAAGCAATTAAATCCTATGTATTTCATTCGATAGTGTCGAATACCACTGCTCACATGGCCATCCCTAAGTGTCACTCATGTCTGGATGGAAACAGTTAGTTTGCAGGCCAAAACATAAACAAGAGATGAGCAACCACGTTGTTTTCGGTGTCGTCTCACGAGTTTAACACGAAAATCACGAAATAATATAAAGGTCCCATGTAATTTCTTCGATCGTGTCGAAAAACAGTGCTCACGTGGCCATCCCTAATTGGAGCTCATAAATTTCAAGATGGCTGCCTTTTCAAGATGGTTGCCATTGCAGACCAAAACATAAACAAGAGATGAGCAACCACGTTGTTTTCAGTGTCGTCTCACGAGTTTAGCACGATATTCACGAAACAATATTAAGGGCCCATGTAATTTCTTCGATCGTGTCGAAACACAGTGCTCACGTGGCCATCCCTAATTGGAGCTCATAAATTTAGCGATTTCCACCTACTACTCGATTCTGTTCGCCTGGTATTTTAAAGGCATCAGCCAAAATGCGTTGAAATTTTGATCAGAAAAATACATTTTTTAATTTTGGGAGTTAAGATACCAGGCGAACAGAAACCGCAGCAGGCAGCTGATTTCCTGATTTCCTGATTTCTCGGTTTCCTGATTTTTTAGCCCTTAAAACAGAGCTCGCACCAAAAAATCAGAACAATAATGATAAAAGTAAGTATAGGGGCTTTAAGTTTCGGTAGTTAGCTTCATAAAACAGTCATTGCTTTAGCCGTACATCTTGTTTTAACAAAGTTAGAGCTAAGGAACTGCAACAAGCCGGGCTTTCTGCAGTCAAAAGGCGTATACTTGATTTTGGGCGCAAAAAAATCAGTTTCTTAGCCATAGCGAAGCCAAAAATGCTCCAAATGACGAATGTAATACCTCGTAGGGCTCGTAACTTGATTGCCATGATTCCCAATTGGTTTGCATTCAATTCTGGGAAACTTCATTTTTGGCACATTTTTAAAAATTTTGATGATGGTACCCCTTATCAAAAATGCGAAATTTGGGCCAAAATTGATTTTCCCAAAATCGAAAAACGGGTGATAGGGGTGGTTAGTATTGGTCGTTAGCAGCACGAAACAGTCGTTCTTTTGGCTGTGCGTCTTGTTTTGACCGAGCTAGAGCTAAAAAACCGAAAATAATATTGCAAATTTCTGTTAAAAATCGGTTTTCTGGTTTTCTAGCCCTTAAAACAGAGCTCGCAGAAAAATATCAGAACAATAATGATAAAAGCAAGTATAGGGGTGTCAAGTTTTGGTTCTTAGCTGCATAAAACAGTCACTGTTTTAGCCGTGCGTCTTGTTTTGACAAAGTTACAGCTTAGAAACGGCAACAAAACCGGGCTATCTGCTGCCGAAAGACGTATACGTGATTTTAAGCACAAAAAAATCAGTCTTTTGGCCGTAGTGAAGCCAAAAATGCTCCAAATGAGGAATGTAATACCTCGTAGGGCTCGTAACTTGATTGCCATGATTCCCAATTGGTTTGCATTCAAATCTGGGAAACTTCATTTTTGGCACATTTTTAAAAATTTTGATGATGGTACCCCTTATCAAAAATGCGAAATTTGGGCCAAAATTGATTTTCCCAAAATCGAAAAAAGAGTGATATGGGTTGTTAGTATTGGTCGATAGCAGCACGAAACAGTCGTTCTTTTGGCTGTGCGTCTTGTTTTGACCGAGCTAGAGCTAAAAAGCCGAAAATAATGTTGCAAATTTCTGTTAAAAATCGGTTTCCTGATTTTTCAGCCCTTAAAACAGAGCTCGCACTAAAAAATCAGAACAATTACGCAAAAAGTAAGTATAGGGGTGTTAAGTTTCAAAAGTTAGCTACATAAAACTGCCATTGCTTTAGCCATGCGGCTTGTTTTGTCAAAGTTAGAGCTAAGTGACGGCAAAAAAGCCGGGCTCTCTGCTGTCAACCGACGTATACGTGATTTTGGGCGCAAAAAAATCAGTTCTTTGGCCATAGCACAGCCAAAAATGGTCCAAATGAGGAATGTAATACCTCGTAGTGCTCGTTACTTGATTGCCATGATTCCCAATTGGTTTGCATTCAAATCTAGGAAACTTTATTTTTGGCCCATTTTTGAAAATTTTGATGATGGTACCCCTTATCAAAAATGCGAAATTTTATGAAAATATGAATTATCCAAAATTAACCACACAGTCATATGGATCGAAAGGTGAGATTGTTAGCTACTCAAAACAGTCGGCCTTTTAGTCGTGCGTCTTTTTTTGACAACGTTGGAGCTAAGAAAGTGCAGCAATACCAGGCTTTCTGCTGTCAACAGACGTATACGTAACTTTGGGCGCAAAAAAATCAGTTTCTTAGCCCTAGCGAAGCCAAAAATGAGGAATGTAATACCTCGTAGGGCTCGTAACTTGAATGCAGATCTGTCAAGAATTATAAAACAAGCTCATCGAGATATTACATTACATATTTGGACAATTATTGGCTTAATTATAAAGACAACACTTAAGTATTTCAGCAAAAAATCAAGTTGATTTTTAGAAAAAAAAACATATAGACACACATCTTTATTCGAATACATGACACTCTGTTTGGTATAAAAGAAAGTGAGGCAAAAAAAATCTTGTATATATCGGTATAAAGTATAAGTAAGTGTAACTAGCGCCAAAGAACGTTTCACAGTACAACAAAGATTCCGCCGCTTGGCAACCACTTTCTGTACACATCTATCCCTGGACTCTCGACTTCTCCGTATGGCCGATGGTTAGATGTGGGAAGATCAAATGCTTCGAGATTACAGATTCCGCTTGAACACTCGCTGAGAGGGCTGAGGGAGATTGCCGAGTGGGCGGTGGGTTTTGGTTGGTTGGTTAGTGCTTAAATGCCGCGATAGGATCGGTGGGCCAAGAAGGCGCTGATGAAGTACAGCACGGCATTGACCAGGCCCAAAACTCCGGCAACCATATAGGCATCGTGCTTAATGTCGCGCAATCTGATCAGCAGGAAGGTGGAGGAGGCAAGGATCAGGATGGCGGCCACGCTGTGATAAATCAGCTCCTAATAAAATAATATTGAGCATTATAATGATGCCGGTGGCTAGGACTATAAAAAACTATGAAAACCTAACAATCAGTATATGTTATGACTCATAAAAAGTAGTTGTAAGCAGTGAGTCATATTAATGGCTTCAAAAGTAAAGTTTGAATATCATAAAATATATCCCTTTATGAAAATCTCTCTAACATTTAATCTTAATATGAATTAAAAGGATGCGCAATAACAATACTTACATAGATCGTCTTGGCAATAATGCCTCCCGTACTCAGGGATGTGAGACAGGCGAGGAGTAAACAGAACGTCCCTATCATAAATGTGACGCCCATAAGATAATGGAACAGATCCTGCTGACCATAATAATTTCTGTGGTAATCCTGATAGTTGTAAGCCAAAATTCCCACAATGGCGGCACCAATGATCTGAACAAAAACAAACTCTATAACTCTGTTTAAGAAACTATATTGGGACATTAACTTACCAGCTCAAAGAGCTTGAGAATTCCGGGGAAGGTCTTCAGATAGCCCGTGTTGAGGACAATGTAGGAGGTGTTGGTGGTGCTGGTGGTGGTGCGGGTAATGGTCACTGAGTGCGACATCTTGGCTTTGTTTCGGTGGTTCTTTTCGGGTTGCTAAAGGTGGGCTAAAATAGCAAACAATTATGGTTAAAAATAATGATAAAGTAATAGAAGATTTCCTTCGTTATTTTGAAACCTACAAATTTAAGGCTATCAAAACACAAAAACTTTAGAAGCTTGCTAATTGTGCTAATAAAAATAAAGAAGTAAACTTTTATTACATGTTTATATTTATATGCGTCATGAAATTTCTAAAAATTTGTTTACTTTTTGCTGATTCATATGTTTTTGTTTCATAAGAAAATATGATAAGTAAATATGAGTTTCCGAAAGATCTCCCCAAAAATCGTAATTCATATGGCGGGTCTTTTTTGTGTTCTTTTTGGCCAGCTGTTACAAATCGAACGCCCTTGTGCCACGCCCATCGATCTGCACAGTATCCATACAATGTTTGTGTATTTTTGGCCATCTATTTGTTGGTGTTTTTGTTTTGGATTTTTGGTTTTTGTCTAATTTTAAAACAATTTTCAATGCCGGCCTCGCGAGCGAACGCAACTGGGCAGAGGCGAAAAAGCGCCAAAAGCGTTATTGAACCAGTGGGAGAATCGGAAAAGTCTATGTATTTACTTGACCGACGACCGATCCTCCCTCCCTGCCTCCTGCCTTTCAAACAAGTTCCCCCCAATCCCCCGATTTTGGGGATCGGCAGCGAACAAAATAGACGAATCTCGCTCACCCGTCTATATGTTCGCCTAGGAATGGAGATGGTCATCCAAATATATATATATAAATATATATATATATATATATATACATATACACCGAAACGTCATGAACTTTATGGTCTGCTGCCTGCTGTTCGTTGGAAAAACTGAGAAAACCCGAGCCCGAAATTGGGGCACACACTTAAAGTGTACAGATGCCGTTGTGGGTGGGTTTAATGGAGAATATTTGCGAATTCCATACCAGCTTCATTTCGCTGATGGACTTGATTGATTCGAGGAATAGCAGATCTCAAACTCGGCAGGGGGTGTTGTTGATAAAGACATTATTCTGTCCAAGAAAACGATGGCCAATGTGTTTACCTATTAAGCCCGAAACAAAGTAGACAAACAAATGAAACCAGTTTTCACACTGTGATAAAATGTAAGCTTAAGAACCTTTTTTTAAACAGAAGTGTGAGTTTAGGATTCGGCATTTACCGGTTCAAATTAAAAGTATCACACATATCCCAAGTATTCATTTAAATTGAGTAAAAGCTGGAACGCATATTGCTTTAGAAACAAAAACAAAAATTTCAAAACTAAAACGTGCTCTACAAGTTTTACAAGGAACTTGGAATGGGGTTGAGTTATAGGATTCAGAGTTCAGACCTTCCTCAAAATCGACGACGCATTAGTCAGGTCGGAACGATGACGCCATCGGTGACGCAATAGCTTACAGACAATGTTGATGATGATGCTCATCAAAATTCAACATAGATCCAGGGAGGGTTAAGGGGTGTGGCCCCGAAATTTCAAAGCGTAACCCAAAATCAAAAACAAAACACAAAACAAAAACGAGAAATAACAAGAACCATGTGCGACATTTTAAAAAAAAAAAAAAAAAAAAAAACGTATTTTGTATGATGATTAGGCGGCGGATTTCCGCTGAAGAATAGAATGATATCATGTCTCCACTATACATATATGCTAACCCACTTGGGCAACAGGTTGTGGCTGTTTTTGGGGGCCCTTAGACGCACTTGTTACTTCAACAAGATGAAAAAGACCGCTTTTAATCATGTCTAAAAGACAACCAATCAATTTATGTTGAATACGAAAAAAAAAAAACAGCTTGCTGATAAGAATTTTTCCTTACTGCATTCGCCAGCAAACACATTCGTTTCGCGATTTCGAACTCTGGAAATGATATCATCGCCGTCAATAATAATGCAGTTTAATGGCCAAACAGTGAAAATACTTGTAGGAAACAAATATAACAACATTTTTATGGCACGGCATGAAAGTACCAAAAATTCGAATTCCACACGATTTTCGAGAGGAAAAACAAATAAGACTTATAGTCCCCAGTGTGTATACCTTTATATGTATATCTTTCGGTATGGATCTTACTCTTACTTTTCTCAAAATTCGGCGTAGGACTTTGGGCCAACTGGTTATTTTCTCTCAATTTTCGACTGTTGCGTCTTTTCGCGCGCACGTTGCAAACGAAACTGAAACCGAAACTGAAAAATAAAAGCGTTTGACTCGCTGCTGCTGCTGTTGCTGCCGCTTCAGTTTCTGCGTCGCAGTCGACATTCAGCTGAGACGAAAACAAAACAAGAGGTAGCAGAAGGCTTCCAGACAGATTAACTGCGAATCGACCTAGGGAATGCCCTAGAAAAGCTTCTTATTCTCGAGATAATCACCAAGAATCTATAATCTGTAGGGGCTTTCACTTTCGAAAAGTGGTTAAAGGTAAAATACATTCATAAATGTATATATTTCTTATGGTTTCAGATATATAAAGTAGAGATAAGATTTGTTTATGTTTTCGTAGATTAGATTTAAAAGCAAAAAGTTCTAAAAAACATTTCAGTTAATTAACATTTAAGTTTTTGAAACAACACTTACTGAGCTTTGCTTTTAAAACTGTTATAGAATAAACTCTACAGTACTCACCTTGATCCTGTCAATACCTCCCTGACCTATATTCATCCAGGGTATCCGCAAGGCAATTCAGCCAACGCCAACAAGTTGTGCTCACCGAAAGGCGGCGGCCGCATTGACTTGACTGGCTATCGCGAGTATAAATGACGCCTGACGTCATGATGTCATCGTGTGAGCGGCGAGCAGAGCAGCGGCAACCTTAATATTTGTAATCCTCAAGTGCAACTAGCCACTGCCACGCCCCCATTGACACTGTTCATTAACCGCCCTCCGATTGGCAATTAAAAAGAAAAGGAATTAAACTTCGCAGTCGGTCGTTGGATAATGGTTGTGGACTTATCCAAAGCTCATCAAACTTTTCTTCTGAGTCAGCGCTAGCTGAGTAGAGAGCGAACAGAGTGGGTGAAGGCGAAAGAGAGTGCACTGGAAGAAATAATTGTAGGGTTAGTGGGTATATAAATAGACTTATAGTGTAAATACTTGGGTCTAAGTCTAATATCTTATATTTTATATAACGGAGTATTTATCCTAAACTCTCTGCCATTAGTTTGGCTGTTATTTCAATTTAGAACGTTGTTCTTGCCGTGTAGTAGTAAAACATTCAGAGAGGACTATGAGTAATGCAGTGCTAGTGGAGATGACGCCGGTCAGCCCCGCCCCAGTGGGTGGCAGTTATCAGCCAAACAGCTTTTATCAATAACAAACCAACTAGCCAGAATGAATGAAAAAAAAAAATAGTACTCATCAAACTGGTAGCGTAATCCATAAGCAATGCGGATCGCCTTCGGAGGAGAACCTTAAGGCATGCAAATACTCACCATGAGTAATGGGCAATTTATAGAGATATAGCCTAGGCAACAGAATCAAGTTCACCGTATGAGGGTCGAATATTAGCTTCTTGTTGCGAACGAATTGTAAATCCTTCCCCGGAAATTATTCATCTTGCTTAATCTCCAGATTATACTTAAAGTTCTAAGTCATAGCTCTCCACTAAAGTAAAATATAACATTGGTTAGCATTACAGAAATAGTATTTAGTAAATGCCAGCTAAACAATAATTTATATGAGAAAGCTATTAATTTTTTCAAGTAAGGTTTTGTTTATGAATTTCAATTTATTTTTCAGACAGCTTTGTTTTCAAGAAATTGCAATACAATATCTTACATTTATAAAATTGCAAAAATTGAAAACGAATAAGATTATTATCTTTAATACTTTCATGTCTTTGACCCACAATTTTTAAAAGCCTATCCGCTAAACAATTAAAAAGTTACCCACCCTGAAAACGTAGCTTCCATTTAAAGGAAGAATGCGATTTTTCATTAACCATTAACCACAAATGGGGGACATTAGCACTTTGGAATCTTATTTTTTGGGGAATTTCATTAATCATTGATTGAATGAATGCACGACATGTCGGCATGCAATCTGTCAATATTTTTGTTTATAAATATGAGTGGGCGAGTGTTTTTAGTTTTTAAGATGATGAAGTAAAAGAAAAATCTAGGAATTCTTTTGAAATCTCAGCTCAAAATCCAAGTATTTTTATTAGAATATTAAAAACACGAACTTGTACTTACGAATGTTTTAAGTGCTCGTTATCAGCCAAGTTTTTCCCCAAGACATTAAGTAATCTGCAAATTAAATTGATTAATATATGTACATATGTATAGTCTAAATCACAAACCCTTTATTACTTCTGGGAAGACATTCGTCACTAGTTTGGAAATCGGAAATGCCAGCACAGATCGGTTTGCAACCTGTTTTTTAAAGGTGTTTGGACTTTTTGCTTGTTGCTTTGCAAAAGTGGTACAAAAAAAGAACCGAACAAAGAACGGAGAGTTCAACCGATCGGGAGATCGGGATGTGGCCAGTAGGCGGGAGTCCCCTGTGATTCTCTGGCGGAACGTAAGCTCTAGAATAAATCGCAAAAGCTTGGATCGCTGGCGGTGATAAAAACGCCTGATAAGCCAGCGAGAGCAGTTCTCATCCGGCATTAGATCTTAGCTCATCATGTTCGCCGCTCGCTTAGTTTCACCTTTTCTTGTGGTTGCCACAGTTTCGCTGGTGCTCCTTATGGTCACCATGGCCCCCGTCTCCGCTGGAAAGCAGCGCCAACGAGCGGCCAATTGTCCAACCATCAAGTTGAAACGCCAATGGGGCGGTAAACCATCGCTGGGCCTCCATTACCAAATCCGTCCTATTCGCTATGTGGTAATCCATCACACAGTCACCAGCGAGTGCAGCGGATTGCTCAAGTGCGCCGAGATTCTCCAGAACATGCAGAGCTATCATCAAAACGAGTTGGATTACAATGATATCAGTTACAAGTAAGGATCATGTATTTGTGTATTTGTACATTATATACTATACCACTTCAGCTGAAATGCTACGTTTGTACATATCTGGTGATCTTTTACAGCTTCCTGATTGGCAGTGATGGCGTTGTTTACGAGGGCACCGGCTGGGGATTGCGAGGAGCTCACACCTATGGCTATAATGGCAATGGCACGGGCATTGCCTTTATCGGTAACTTTGTGGGTAAGTTTTTAAGTGTATCAACTCCTCAGAATATAGCACTATATGAACACAATCTTTAACAGATAAGCTTCCAACGGCTGCAGCTCTGCAAGCGTGCAAAAATCTTCTTGCCTGCGGAGTCCAGCAAGGGGAATTAAGTGAAGATTATGCCTTGATCGCTGGCTCTCAGGTGATCAGCACCCAGAGTCCCGGACTAACACTATATAACGAGATTCAGGAGTGGCCGCATTGGCTCTCAAATCCATAAACAACCGCTACACAAAATTGTAATACTTGTCGATAGCCGCTTAGAAAAGAAAACAAACTTACAGTTACAAAAGTGTTATCGCGTTTTCGATTTATCGATTTACAGTGCAACGATTTTAGCTATAGTTTTAATCCATAAAAATAAGATATGCGGAGATAATTCAAATTATTAATTAAATAAATAAACTTTGTGCTGTGTTGAGTAGTTTTTTTATTTAATATTTTTCTACTTTTTTTTTTGTCATAATTTACAAAAAGTTTTCCGTTTTTGTCATAAAAATATATATGAATATATAGATAGTATATGCTGCGTCTTATACTTATATATACGTAGTTACGAAACTTCGCGCTACAGACATAACTTTTGGGTGTGGGCGATAACATTTTGCTGGCGAAAACAACTAAGCGGTTTAAATAGAAAAAAAAGATATATGGAAAACGTTACATATATTGTTTGGTGTTTACTGGTAAAATCCCGCACTTTAGTTATCGCATTTCATTTCTTTCTCCTCCATACTTATTTACTAAGGTCTTGCTACTAAATTTAGGCCAGATAAAAATTAGAGATGTAAAAAAAAATGAAAGTGGCATAAGAGTGACAAAAAAGATCCAATTGATAAAAGAAATAGCATTCAAATAGGTTTTGAATGAAATCATCATTGACAGTTCGATCATTGCAATGTTTATTTAATTTGTGCCAATAGAAATGAATTCAAATTCAATTTTCTATTAAACTATAGGTTTGAAATGTGTTTCAAAAATCTTCAGCTTACCAGAAACTGAATCAAATATTCATAACAAAATCTGCACAAGTTAAACAAAAATTGGCAATGCAAACAGTAATGACTTTTTTCAATTGCCGGACCTGTCAGCTAGTTGCAGACTTCATATTGTTAAATTCACCTTTTCCCCAAGGCAGGTCAATAATTATAGTCGGCTCTTTAACTACGACTTGACCGCCCCGGGGATCGGGAAGTGCTGGGGGAACTACCCCCGTCCTCCTTTCCTCAGTCGTCGCTTTCCTCGAACGTTGGACTGCTGGGCGAGTAAGCCGGACTCGTCGGACTATAATGTGATGGCGCCGTCGGCGAGTACATCGGCGACGTGGGAGAATAGTTGCGGGCCGTGGGCGTGTACGTTGGCGAAGTGGGCGAGTACTTCGTGCTGCTCGGCGAATAGATGGACATGTTTGGTGAATACCGTGGACTCGTCGCAGAGTAGGTCGATCCAGTGGGACTGTACTGGTTCGAAGGCGAGTGCTGCGGCGAACTGGGCGAGTACAGCGGTGAAGTCGGTGAGTACTTAGGCGAGGCTGGGGAGTACTGAGGTGATCCTGGTGTATATTGTGGAGATCCAGGCGAGCCATCGTACGATGGTGACGGTGGCGAATACGTGGGCGATGTCGGTGAATACTTCACCCCCGTCTGCGAGTAAGCAGGCGATGCTGGAGAATAATGCGGCGAGGCTGAGTAATTCGGACTGGTCGGCGAGTATGAAGGAGTTACGGGCGTATAGTTCGGACTCGTTGGCGAGTACGAAGGCGATGTTGGCGAATAGCAAGGCGACGTTGGTGAGTACGAAGGACTCGACGGCGAATAGGATGGTGATGTCGGCGAGTAGGATGGTGAATTGGGTGAATAATTGGACGAGCTGGGGGAGTACGCATTGCCTGGTGAATACATGGTGCTACCACTGCCCGCAAACGACGGACTCGACTGGAATTGCGGTGTAGGCGAATACACTGGAGATGTTGGGGAGTATCCGGATGAAGATGGCGAGTAACCTGTCGATTGCGGATTGAAGTTTGGCGTTGTCGAGGCATAACGTGAACTTGCTGTCGCATATAGCGGCGATGTCGGCGAATAGTTTGGACTCGAGGGAGAGTAATTGGGCGAAGCTCCACTAGGCGATGACGCTGTGTAGTTCGGACTCGTTGGGGAATAAGAGGGAGAAACGCTCGGCGAGGCTGGAGAGTAAGGCGACATTGATGGACCCGGTGAACTGGGCGATGAGCCTGGATGAGCTGGCGACCAGCTGGGAGACATTCCGGATGCATCCGAAGCAGCTGAGGGCGAGAAACTTGGTCCACCGGGAGTCATGGCGCTCACTGCAAGCACAAGAAAGAAAGAGAAGGAAAATGTCAGGTGAAAATTAAAAATAAAATAGGATGTCCATAATTCGACAAAAGATGATGTACTTACCATGGCCTGGTGGAGAGAAATAACGCGGCGTGTTGCAGTTCACCCATGGCGTCATCGGTGGCGTCATGCTAGGCGTGGATCCGCCGCCAATGAACATTGCAGCTCCGCCCAGCATGCTGCTGCCCAACGTATTAGGAATCTCAATACCGAATCGACACTTCTCCGCATCGAGAAGTAGATCGAAGCAGCCAGTGCCCATCTTCGGCAGTTGACCCATGATAATGTTCTCAGATACGCCTCTCATGGGATCAGTTTCAGCGTGGGCTGCGGCATCCATCAGCACGTCCACCGTCTCCTCGAAGGAACAACGCATAAGGGCACCAGTGTCTTGTCTGTTAATGCCGTGACGAGTGATGGCCATCAAATGGCCCTTGGCGGTCATCACATCGCACAACAAAGCCAAATGACGATAGTTCACGTACAAGCCGTAGAACTGGAGCACAGCGTTCATCTCCTTTTCGACAGACTTTCGCACCGCCTCAATGCCCAGCACTTGGAAGATCTCGCAGATATCGTTTGAGGATGTTCGGATTGGATCCACATCGCGTTCCGACAGCACCTTCATCATCGAAGTACCATCTGTCTCGAGCAACCACTCGCCAATGGCCTTAAATTCTCCGGTCTCCGTGATCACGATACGCTTCTTACTGTCGGTCTGTGGCAAATGCATATACACTTTGCCAATGGCTTCAATGCCCTGCAATGTCATGTCAGACAGCATGTTGGCCTCAATACAGCGCAGGAACATATCGTCCTCCATCTTATCGACGGCCTCGTCCTCGTCCTGGAACTTGTTCTCCTCGTTGTTCATGATCCTTATGCGCAACACCAGCTTGTCAGCATTGTCGTCGTTGAAGATACAATTAAGATCCTCACCGAAGCCGACGTTGATCTTCTCAGCAATCTGTTCCATGGTCAGCTTCTTGTCCGTCATACGCTTGCGATCTAACTCAATACGAAGCAGCCAGGGCGAAATGCGAGTGGGATCAAAATCAGGCATTTCATAGTAGACATTAACGAACTCTTGATCTTCGGATATCACTGTTCTTTGTGGATCCGGATCGTAGTAAATAGCCGTATTGGCCGTGACCTTGCGCAGCGTAGTATGCTCCAGCCGGCACAGCACATTCTTGGCCTTCTCCGCATCGCGGGCAGCACCGCCAGTAAGGAAAACGGTTAGCGAGGGAGCCTTGGGCTTCTTCGATATATTAATGATCTCCTTGAGACGTGGCACTCCCAGTGTCACGTTCTTTGAGGACACACCAGCAAAATGGAAAGTGTTCAGTGTCATCTGAGTAGCGGGTTCACCCAAACTCTGGGCGGCTAAGGCACCCACCATCTCACCGGGATTGGCTTGGGCCTGCTGGAAACGCGTCTCGATTTCTCCTATCAACCACTCAAAGGCCTCTGTGGACAGACGGAACTCTTCTGAAACATATTTCGTACACAGCGTTGAGCGAATCAGGCACTGGAACAGCAGGGTGGCGTTCTCGTTGGCCTGCTTTGATATCCGATCGTTGCCTGTGACAATAACACAACGTTCGAGTAATCCCTTGACTCCCTTGATCACACGCATAGGCGAAAGGTCCGTGGGCAAGCGCTTGTTGATGTGAAAGATCTTCTGGACGTTCCAGATCATACGCTGCAGATTGCACGGCAGTACGACCTTGGAGTCGCCGTTGGGAAAGATTTGTCGCAAGCTGTCTCGGTCGGAAACTAAGCGATCCCACTCAGCCTCCAATTCCTGGATGGCTTCGCTACTGTCGGTCATCTCCTTGATCACATCGTCCGTAAACACCTTTCTCATGTATCGCTCGTTGCTCCAGTCGAACTTGAATCGCTTCTCAAACGCCTTGTTGGACAGTTTCACTGTAGGCATGTTCTGGAATTCTACTAGCTCACCGCAAAGACCATCCTCGCCGTAACGCAACTGAATCAGCTGTCCCACCGAGTTACGCACAGTTCCATCGTAGTTGACCATCACCGACTCCATAGCCTTTATAAGACGTCGCTGAATGTAACCGGTTTCAGCAGTCTTTACAGCAGTATCAATAAGACCCTCACGACCACCCATAGCGTGGAAATAAAACTCCGAGGGTGTCAGGCCGGCCAGATACGAGTTCTCCACGAAACCACGGGACTCAGGACCGTAATCGTCTTTGATGAAATGGGGAAGAGTGCGCTTGCGGAAACCATACGGGATTCGTTTACCCTCAACGTTCTGCTGGCCCACACAAGCAATAACCTGGAAGAGATGGACTTTTTTAATCCAAGTTAAAAAGAAAATCCTTTAAAAAAATATACCTGTGAGATATTAATGTTGGAACCCTTAGAACCAGACACCACCATAGCCTTTAGATTGTTGTATTCAGTAAGCGACTTCTTGGCCGAGCCACCAGTCTTGTCACGAGCATCGTTTAGAATACGATTCACCTTATTTTCGAAAGTTTGACGCAGTGTATTACCCGGTGTGGGCTCCAGCTCCATGTTGTGGGCCTTTTGAATGACGTTTATCACGTCATCTTTGGCTTTCTTGATGGCCTGCTGAATCTCGTTATAAGTCTGCGGATCGGCAATGGTGTCACCAATACCGATACTATGGCCCTCAAGTAGCAGCCAATTATTGATCACGGTCTGAATGTTACCGTAGAACCGACCAGCGATATCGTGACCAAGTTCCAAGAAACAAATATGCAGGAGCGAACCTGCCGAAGTACCCAGCGTCTTTTTGCAGAGAATACCCATGATGAGTTCGCCGTGTTCCACCATTACCTTGGTGTCACCGGGCGAAATCCACTTGTACGGCCCATCATCCTCTTCGTCTGGATGTGTGGAATGCGTACGTATCATGTTCACGTTGCCGGGGATGATCAGGGAGAATATCTGTTTGCCAGTCCATAGGGGACGCGGTTTTAGGATACAAGGCTGTGGCATTTTACCGTCCCACGTCGGCAGGAACATCAACAGATTCATAACCTGTTCGCGAGTGATGAACACATCGCGCTTGGTCATCTTTCGCACCGCAGTCAGAGTGTCCTGCACAATACCCATGACAGGTTTGTTTGCCTGGGGCGTAATGATCTGTCTGGGTGTGATGTGGATGTTCTCCACCTCTGCACGCGTTTCCATAGACTGTGGAACGTGCAGATTCATTTCATCGCCGTCAAAATCGGCATTGTAGGGCGATGTACACGAGAGGTTCATACGGAACGTCGACCAGGGCAGGACTTTCACCCTGTGCCCCATCATACTCATTTTATGCAGCGTTGGCTGTCGGTTGAAGATCACCAAATCGTCGTCGCGCAAATGCCGCTCCACCTTGTAGCCGCATTGCAGATGCAGGTCAGAGGATTTCGGATGGAAACGAAGATCTATACGCTCGCCATTATCACGCACAATGTACTTGGCTCCCGGATACTGTGAGTTACCTCTCCGCACAAGCTCCTGCATGCGATCAATGTTGAAAGGTGTAACCAGTTCGGGAAAGGTCAGATTTTGGGCAATAGAACGCGGTACACCGACCTGATCGATACGCAGATTTGGATCGGGGGTGATGACAGTACGAGCGGAGAAATCCACACGTTTACCCATCAAGTTTCCACGAATCCTACCCTCCTTACCCTTGAGACGGGCTTTGATGGCTTTGAGTGGTTTGCCCGATTTCTGCATGGCCCTGGGCATTCCTGGCATATCATTGTCCACCAAGGTGGCTACGTGAAACTGCAGCATCTTGATGTTCTCCTGGATAACGTGCGCTGCCGCTCCACTGGATTCGTTCTTTCGCAGCTCATTGTTTGCCTTGATAATATCGGACAGCTTATGTGTCAAATCATCTTGGTTCTTGGCTGCACCAAACATAACAACTGCCGGACGTACGGCCAGAGGTGGTACGGGTAGGACAGTGACAATCATCCAATCGGGACGTGCATACTTGGGGTCCATGCCAAGAATAAAACACTCCTCGTCGGTGATGTGCTTGAGAATCTCCCAAACGCGCTCTGCCGATACCACGATCTTCTTCTCCTGTGAGTCCTCGTTGGGATGCTTCCATTCGGCAGTGAGATCGAGACCTGTCCGCCGAATCGATGGCTGGTAGTGACCGCAACCACCGTGGCCGGGTTTCTTGTTTGGATCCGGCTGTTGGTTGTCCTTGGTCAGATCCATGTCCTCGCCGCCCTCGCAAATAGTCTTGCCTTTGCACAGATCATAGACGTAGGCCAGACGCTTTCGTGGCTGTCCCTTGGATTTCATCACGATCTCCTTGATCTTCGGATTGTGGGGTGAGACCAGCATTTTGGAACAATAGAAGCACACACAGCGCAAGATCTTGATTGTCTTAGTAATGAAACCGATGTGGAACACGGGTTTGGCCAAGTCGATATGACCAAAATGGCCGGGACATTCGGTCATGTTGCCGGCGCACGTCTGGCAACGGGACGTCCTGTCAATGACACCTTGTCGCGGATCCATAAGACCACCAAGTTTTGGACGGCCACCTTCCATAGTTTCTGCGAACTGGACGCCACCCTCTGTGACGGACATACGGCGCTGTAACCAGGGATAGAGTGTGTCATTAAAAATCGAGTTGGCTTTAAAAATTGACTTTTTATTGGTACTTCCAGTTTCAATCCCTTTTAAAATATATTGAAAGTCAGACCAATAAGTTTGACTATGCTCTTAAAGAAGTTATTCTATAAATTCCTTATACAAGGCATAAGGCATTTGTTAACCTTTTAGCCATCACGGTTTTAAAAATATCTATGGTTTTTTGATAACTATTTTTAAAGACTATCTTAAAATAAGCTACACATTGATTTTGATAAGACGATACCATTATATAAAAAACTAAATATTGAGAAGTGTTAAAACCAAGATCTCTTAATAAATCTATAACATGGCAAAATCTTTATAACATATACCAAATTTGTATAACCTATACAGTACTTGAACTTGCGATCTGTATATACTCATTTTTTACCTTCCTAGATATATATAGAAGATATAATCCCAATCCAAATCGAAATATTGTATTAAGAAGTTCTTGACCTTGCCCTTCACATCCTCAGGCTTTTAAAAGATTTTTCAGTTTATATTTATAAATTTATATAAAGCATTAAACTTAAGATTACTATATAATGGCTAAACTATATACATATATAAACCGTGTTCCTTCGACCCAAACCAAATAATTTCGATGTAACCTCGCACAAAGGGCAACAAAACACACAGGGCTACATGTATGCATATAATAAAATTAATTTATATATTTTTGTACGCATATGTTTGTAAGTGGTGTTAGATTGAAAATTTTTTTCAGTATTCTCGTTAACAAAATTTTTAAAATCTTTTTTTTCAATATGGCGTCGAACGGAGCTGAGCTGCACTTACAATTTCATCAGGTGACAAAATGCCAAACTGTACGCGCTTCACCTGGCGCAGCGGCGCCTTCGAGTCCGTGGTGGTACTCATCCTGGTTGGTGGTGGCCCCTAGGCCACAACACAGAACCTTTGGCGAAAGACGACGGCAATTCCTAGATAAATGGGGGCTACTTTCTGTTTTTCTGCTGCGTCGTCACACTTTTCACCTCGTGCGATCGGACAAATGGAAACGCACGAAAGGACGGGGATTGGGCAAAAACAAAGTTTGGGTAAACAATCACCGTTTGTTGCTGGCTCCCTGACCGTGCATTCTATAACATTCGGTCTCTACAGGCGGTTGCGAGTGCGAATTTCCCCGTTTTTTTACGCGATGCGATGTGAAAACGCGGACAACGCCGACCGAAAAGTGTGACTGAATAGTGTAACTTAAAAAATACCACAACAAAATATGGTCATACTACAAAGGTTGCCAGATGATTTAAAAGTGTGTTCTTGACTATAGCTAGGGTTTAAGTATTTAATATCAAAATAAATGACTTAATCAACATAAAAATGAATTTAGAACAAATAAAATAATATAGAAATTTGTTACAATAGACATTTTCAAGCCCCCAAATTTGTGAAGCTAAAGATATTTTCCGATATTTTACTGCCCTCTCCAAAAATGACATGTGGCAGCTCTGACAGCAGTGTTGACCGGTCAGAGCGGTCAAGCAATCAGCTGTGCCGTGCGATCCGTTTTGGGTAATTACGACAATAATCAAACGCAATAGCAGCGAAGACCGGAAAACCAGTGGAACGATGAGTGAGGCCGGCACCAACGCGGATGCAGTGGTGGCCGAAAAGGAGCGCAAGTTTCGCATCCAGGGTGGGTTGTCCTATCCCGTCTGGCAATTATTTTCCTGACCTGACTGGAGTACACCTTCTCATCCACTTTGCAGCCGCCGCCTTTCTGGGATTGGTGGGCGGTGTATCCGCTCTGTTCGGATTCTCCCGCACTCTAGCCACCGCGAAGAAAACGGACAGCAAGGTCCTCCAGCAGGCTGGAACCCGACAGGGGCTGATCCTAATGGACGAGGGCGCCACCCTTGCCCTGCGTGCATTGGGCTGGGGTACTCTGTACGCCGTCATGGGCACCGGTGCCTTCTGCTACGGCTTTTGGAAGCTGTCCGGAGCCAAAGACGTGGGCCCTTCCTCTAGTTTAAAATTAGAATTCCTATCTAATTATATTATTTAATTTGCAGTTCCAAGAGTTCCGCCTTAAGATGGGCAACGCACTGCCAAGAATCACCAAGGACGAACCACCAGCCAGCCGCACCGACTTCGAGAGCCTCACGGACCTCATGAAGTACCTGGCCGCCTGGAATAAGGAATGAGCAGCTCACAAAAATACATATACACAATTTAAATTAAACCTAATGCCTAAGTAGACTTGAACATAAACCAAAACATTTGTTAACTTGAGTTTACATATAGGCAAATGTTATCTTTATAAGATTTGAAGTTTGATTATTTTTTTTTTGTTATTTCTTACTTTGGGAACGGTTTTAAGCCTTGATCAAATTCAAATTCTATAACTCTAAAATTCCCTTGAGTGCAACTTTTTTGATAATATAAGTATTTATATTTGATTTACCTTAAATTAGGTGTAATCTTCGGAGTCTTAAATTTCAGTAATCTGCCAACTACTGACCCTAGCATTACTTATCTATTCCTTAGCTCTGAAGGATTGCCTATTTTCGATCATGATTAATGGGTGATCATCGTTCGTCGGCTAGATTCTTCTGTATAGCGTTGTTGATCAAAGCGTTTCGCATGAATTGGTGATGATCCTCTAGATTGCTCTGCAGTTCCACCATGTCCTCGTGCTCCGTCTGAAACCGGATGGCAGCATTTGTTATTGCCAAAGAGCTTCGCACGAAGTTCTGCAAATTGGGACCCTGATCTAGGTATCTCTGCTGCTCCTTGTTGGGCTGAAAATTCGGTTTTCGTTTGTCCGTATACAGAACAGCATTCATCACGAAATCAAAAAATTTGTGCTGCTCTTTCTGAGCGCGTTCCTTGTATTGCTGCACCTCATTCTCTTCGGTGCTGGGTCCCCAAACTGAAATAAAAACCATATATATTTAAGAACATATTATATTTTGCTGTCAAGGAGGCCACTTACTTCCCTCCAAATCAATGTTGAACAAAGTGCTGACTTCATAGGGTCGCGGTTTTAGAGTTGCCTCCAGCAAAGCGGGCACGTCCTGGATATCAATGTCGGAGAGGTCGCCGCACGACAGCTCACCAGCACTCACGTTGCCCACGTTTGGCAATAAAGTAGAACGACGTACAAACGTCATTGGGAGTTTTTCTGGACTCTTAGTAGGATCCATCGCGTCGTTTTTTGTTTTTAAATCCATAATAACTTACCAACACTACTTTATTGGTCAGGGAATCCAATATGGCTTTTTTCAAGCTATTAAAAAATGCGATTCGCACGGATTACACAATCTGGCTTTTTTTGTGAATCACTACAAATAATTGTAGTTTAGCAGTAAAAACTTCTTCCTTAACAAAAAAGAAACATTTTTTTTTGAGAACTAAATAGTAAAGTAGGCACACTTTTTCTTTCATACTATTGTCGACAATCCAGACAGATTCATAGTAGATTCATATATATTTCACAAAATCCCAAATTTTATATTTCCCAAAATTAAAACAATGGTTTACGCAAACGTTTTGCGAATGCTTTCTCTTCTGGTGGGCTGCTTATATCCGGCATTCGCGTCCTACAAGGATCTGGAACGGTCTCAAAACGGTCACAGACACTGCGATGAGGACCTTCGCATGTGGTTGTCCTACTGGATCACCTATGGCGTCTATATGGTCTTCGATTATCTGACATCAAGTCTAGATTCAATTGTTCCATTTCTTAACGAGTTCAAGGTGCTCTTACTGTTTTGGATGTTGCCCACTGTAGGCGGAGGCAATGAGGTGATATACGAGGAGTTCCTGCGATCCTTCTTCAACAACAATGAGCTCTCCTTTGACCAGGTTCTAACGCAAGCTACTTTGACTGGAGGTCACTTAGTGGGTCAACTTATAAGTTCATTTGTTGGCTATCTTATGACTGTGGCGGATAGCTGTCTGCTGTCCCGTGGACATCGTCCTGCCCTTCAAATTACGCCCAGCATCGAGGATCTTGTGAACGATGCTATAGCCAAGAGGCAGTTGCAAGAGAAACGGAAGCAGATGCCAAACCTATCCGACACCATTAATGAAGTCCTGGGAGACAAGACCAATAAAGATAGCTTTGAATTTCTAAGTGAATCCGAATCGGATTTGTTGGTCCTCAAGGATCACATTTCAAGACCTAAAGAAAAACCAGAAACCCCGCCTAAGCCAATGCGCCCGACATCCCAGCCCGACGAGGAAATGAATCTCAATCTGGAAATGGCTTAAAATGTTTGGATCCTTCAAGCCGCAAAGGCCTTGTAATAAATATGTACATATATATTCCACAAAAAAGCTAATTAATATGAATATCACACAAATATGTGTATCAATTATAATGTATAATAATAAAATGCAGAGGGCATATAAATTGGTCTCTTTAAGTCATTTGTTGTATAGAAATTTTAAAACATCTAACTTTGTTACCTTTTCAGCTATTTTTCCGTTCATAGCTTATATATCTGCACAAACCGTCGCGACATGTCTGGCGCAACTTCTATGCTCGATCCGGCAACGCCCCCGTCAAACAACTCAGCAAAGAAACGACTCAAAAACAGCTGCATTTAACGCGATTGGATTTGCGATTTGTGTCTTTCCTTTTATGAGATGATATGCCGACTCTGTCTGGAAGATGCTGAGCAAGGGGTGCCCATTTTTGGTCAGGACCCGTCATCGGCACAACCGGCGCTGCGCCAGCTGGCGGAGCTGATCGAGCGACATCTGCAGCTGGTGGTGAGTAGATTTCAACTTGGAATCCATGTCCTATTAGGGAAAACGCCTAACTTATCAATACGTATTAATCCTTCCCAGTTGGCGGCCAACGACGCGGTATCAACGTGTCTGTGCAACCGCTGTTGGCGACAGCTGACCGAGATCGAGCATTTCTGCTCCATGGTGGCAGACAAGCAACGGTCGTTGCACCGTTCGCTGCAGCTAAAGACGGAACTGCCAGAGTTACCGGAACTAACCGAACCGGAGCCCGCCTTGGTCGTGTGGAACACGGAATCGCCCATTGAGCCGAAGCTGAATTACGAGGGCGATGACATCAAGGATCACATACTGTGCGAGCCGGTTATAGACGCCCTGTCCGCAGGCGATGAGAAGGATAGTGACTATGGCGACACGTTTGAGCCGGACTTTGAACCGGAAATGCAGCCGGATGACGAGCCAGAACCAGATCCCGTAAAGCCACGCCCTAGAGGAAGACCACGCAAAACGCCGCTGCAGCAGACGCATCAAATCATCAAGAGGAAGTACGAGAAGCGAAAGCAGCAAAACAAAACCAAGATCACAGAGTTATCTTTAAGAGAGTCAAGAGCCAGGTTAAGGGAGCTTAAACGAAGCAGTACTGGTGCAGAAGAGGATCAAGAAGAGGACGAAGACGAGGAAGAGGAGGATACAGAGCCAGCTCCAGATGCCGACGAGCAACCAAAGCCACGCGGCAAACGCGGCCGACCCAAAACTAAGAAACTGGTCACTGCCGACGATAATGACGATCCTTCAGAGGTGCCCGTCAAGCGCAGTAGCATTAAGGAAATGGACGACTATATAGCCGCCAATGTTAAGTTGGACTGTGCAATATGCGCCGCTCCACTGGAGGATTTCAACGATCTCAAGCGCCACTTTCGCGTGGAGCACGACTGCACCGGCTATGTGAAGTGTTGCAATAATCGGTACAAGAAGCGGACACTGTATGTGGACCATCTGCACTGCCACAAAGATCCGCAATACTTTAGTTGCCAGAGCTGTCGAAAGAACTTCCTCAACCGCAACAGCCAGGTGATGCACATGCTGCGCTTCCACTCGCAACAGCAGGAGCTGGTCCACCAGTGTGCAATCTGCGAGGCGCGATTTGCCAAGAAGTTCCTGCTGACCATGCACCTCAAGGGGCACAAGGGCACTGAGAGACCCGAGGTGTGCGACACCTGCGGCAAGACGTGAGTGGTGCTAGTCTGGTAGACAATCCCCTAACGCGATACGTTCTCACATTACAGATTCCGCACCAAGTTTGAGCTGAGCGCCCATGTCAAACGTATGCATGCGGCGGACTTTACGCCCATTATTTGCGATATTTGCGGGACACACTTCAGAAGCAAGGCCAACTTCCTTATCCACAAAAAGGCGCTGCATCCGGACGGGCCCGTGGCGGAGGTGCAGTGTACCCTGTGCGGCCGCTGGCTGCGGGACGAGCGGAGCCTGCGCAAGCATCTGGCTCGCCATGATGACCGCGACGGCGACACCAAGTACCGATGCCTACTCTGCAATGCAGAGAAGTCATCCCGTGCCGCACTCAGCAGCCACATGCGGTACCATCACTCCGCCAAGCGGCACAAGTGCAGTCTCTGCGACAAGGAGTTCAAGCTGCCGAGGGCTTTAGCCGTGAGTTTATCGCAGTAATCAATCTTGATTTGGCTAATCCTTGACTGTTTTCTATAGGAGCATATGGCCACCCACACGGGCATTGATTTGTACCAATGCCAGTTCTGCACAAGGACATTTAAGTCGCACGCAAATATGCACAACCACAAAAAGAAGATGCATCCGAATGACTGGGTGAGAAAGTATTCACAGCCCAGCAGCAGCATTACCTCCTCAACGGCTCCAATCGTTGCTCCTCATCCTCCTCCAGTGGCTGCTCCCGCTGGCCTAGCCGGGCACATGCTACCGCCGCTGGGCGGAATAAGCAAGTCTCTGATTGAAATACCCGATCCCGAAGGCTTCGACTTTGTCAGCAACAGCTCTGTGTGCCCCACGCCCGACTGAATTTGTGTGTGTCTGTCTCTGCTATTTTGTGTATCCATTCCCTGGCTGGGATTTATGTATAAAACCGTACAAATAAACTTGAATAATTACTGTAGTTGTGTGAAAAGCGAGGATCTTTAGTTTAGGATTCATCTTCCGCTTCGTCTGCCTCCTCCTCGTTTTCGGTAAGAATGGTCCGGATCTTCATGAGGAGCTCTTTTTTCACAGCATCCGGAACCATTGTGCGAGCCTTTGGTGTGACCTCTGTGATGAGCTGTTCTACGGTGAAGCTGTTGTTGGTACCCTTCTCTAGCAGAATATTGCGACACATCATGCGTACTTCGTCCCTCCATCCACACTCCGTCAATCGGCTGCACAGCAAGTCCTTGATCTTGGAACGGTCCCCAGTTAGCACCGTGTACTGGTCCACTGTAGCGGAAACGGTCATTCTGGATGAGAGAATGGGATCTAATGCTACAAATTACTTCTCTCTGTTCGTCTTCTTCTTCTACTTCTTCTTGGTCCTTGTCGATTCCGCTGCCTCCGCCTCTGTTCTTCCTTTTTTCTTCCTTGCCCGGTTCGTCGCGTCTGTTTTTTTTGTTTGTCCGGTCCGGTTCGCTGTTGGTGTCGCCGGCGTGGTCAATGCAAGCAATTTGGCTACTTTCTAGCTATCTCGCAGAGACACATTGAAAACTAAAATAAAAGCAGATTCTTAACAGGATTAGTTGACAATAAGTATAATTAATTTCTCAGCTAAGAATATTAGAACTGTGAGCGTCCGATAACCAAATATTAGAGTTGGTTAAGAATTCTTTATGACATTAACATCTTAATAAAGTTGTCAGTTTGGTAAAGACTTTATGAATTTAAATCGGTTAAAAAGAATATTTTTCTTAATCCGAAGGTTAAAATGGTAATTATTTATGTTAATTTATTAGTGTTTTTGTTGCGTATCTGCTGTTATGTTTTCCATCTCACTTAGCAAGCGACAGGGAAAGCCCTCTCTACTTTGGCATCTCTTTCGCTTGACGTTAATTCTGTCCACGATCCGGCAACTCCAGGGCGACGTCTTAAACCGAATTTGTCAGGCTATTAATTGAATTAATTGGTGTTCCTGCAGCCATAGAGCAATGATATGCCGCCTATGCCTGGACGATGCGGAGCACAGTGTTCCGATCTTCGACCAGGAGGACACCACTGATCAGCCAGTGCCCTCCAATCTGGCGGAACTTATTGAGAAGCACCTGCAGTTGGTGGTAAGTAGTTACAAGTCTGTTTAAATTATATTTCCGTGTTTTATTAATTTCAACAGCTCCTGCCCAATGATGCGGTGTCCAAGTGCCTGTGTACCCAGTGCTGGCAGCAATTGGCCGACTTTGAGCAATTCTGTGCCATGGTAATGAAGAAGCAGCTGGGTCTTCAACAGCTGAAAATCGAACCATTCTCCGAGGACGAGGATGCGGACACTAAAGCGCAGATTCTGTGTGAGCCGGAGATCGATGTCAGTCCTGCGGCGGCGGACAACGAAGAGTGCAACGAGATCGACGGGGATGCCAGCAGCAGCAGGAGCAGTAGTATCCAGACAACTAACCGGCGAGGGATGCGCCTGCCCTCGCCCATTAGACGGAGCATGCGACCCCGGTCAGCCTCAACTTCCAAAAGCCGCGTTGTTAAGGCGAAGGCCAAGACGAAGCGCCACCAGGAGGAGGTAGACGAGGATGAGGATATCGAAGGCGACCCGGAGAGCCGGAGCAGCAATAGCCGCGAAATGGACAGCTACATTGCTCTGCACGGGCGTTTAGAGTGCTGCATGTGCGGTGGCGACGATCAGTTTCAGAATTTCGCCGAAATGAAGCGTCATTTCCGGAATCAGCATCAGTCCGCCGGATATGTGGTTTGCTGCCAGAGGCGCTACAAGAAGCGCGCCCTCTACGTGGACCACCTCCGCATGCACAACGATCCGGATTACTTTAGGTACTTTGCCAGCATAAGCATTTGGTGTAGCCCCTACTAATAAATGAACTGCAGGTGCAAGATCTGCTCGAAACAGTTGGTCAGCAGGATAAGCTACGATGTACACATGTTGCGCTTCCACTCCAATGAGGACGAGCTGAGCTTTGCCTGCGATCAGTGTTCCAAGAGATTTTCCAAGCAATTCCTGCTCACAATTCACTCGAGGGTACACCAACAGGAGCGAAAAGAGCAATGCAAGCACTGCGACAGATCGTAAGTAAAAAATTGGAAGTGAACTACGTAGATGTTATGTTAAATTTCATGTTATTTTTATTACTTGTCCACAGCTTCCGCACTGCTGTTGACCTGCGACTGCACATGCGACGCACCCATGACCCTGCCTTTGTGCCCTTTATATGCGACTCGTGTGGCGCCAAGTTCAAGACGAAACAGAACCTGTTGGTGCATAAGCGCACCGTGCACCGCGAGGGCTCCCAGCTGCCGGAAGTACAGTGTCAGGAGTGCCAGGTGTGGCTGTCCGATGAAAATAGTTTGCGCAAGCACATGTATATGCACTTGGATGCCGCCTCGCTGCGGCAGTGGAAGTGCGAGCAGTGTGGTCTGGAAAAGGGCTCGAGGGCGAAGCTGGCAGCGCACATACGCTACCACCATCCGAAGGAGTACCACAAGTGCACGCACTGCGGCAAGGAGTTCAAAAGCAGCCGAGGTCTCGAAGAACACACGGCCACGCACACCGGCCAGGATCTCTACGAATGCGCCTTCTGCGAACGCACTTTCAAAAACTCGGGCAACATGCACAAGCACCGTCGTCAGATGCACGCAGCCCAGGTGGCTGCCCTGCAGCAGCAGAAGAAGGTGCGGCCCAGTAAGCGCAAAGACAAGGGCGACCTGCTACTTGACGTCTTGGCCGCCGGAGGTAAGGAACTGAACCACTCCTTGGGACTGGGCGATATGAATGACTGATTGATTCTAAAAAACCAAATAAACACATTGGATTGATATCAAAGGTGGTGTCTATTTATTTTGATTTAACTTTTGCAATAGATTAATACTTTGAAATGTAAATATAAAAACAAATTTTATTGAAGAACCACCAACTGTCTACAGGAAACCTTAATGGCTTAATCGTTTTAATCTGTTTCAGAAATGATCTTAATATGAGAATTTTTAATTCCTAAATTAAATTACAAGAAAGGTTTAAAAGGGTTTCCCACTATTATTCCCACCATTCCATTCCCACTATACTCTGTATTTTCCCAACACTTTTAGTGTGCCCAAAGCGTTATATATCGAGGGCTAGAACAGCTAGATGTTGCAGTTTCTCAACTCTGGGCACACAACTAGCAAGGGCTTCATTTTTATTTCGAGAGCTTGGGTAAACAGAAATTTAAAAAGTCCTTAGTAAAATATCATTAGTTTAGAGTTCAAAATGTAAATTAGACTTTCTTTGTTCCAAAACACAATCACGCACACTTTCCCAATTAAATGTATTATTTTCTGGTATATCTAAACACTGATTACTCATCCAATTGGCATTACGCTCTTAGTTTTTCCTATTTTGTTGCACAAAGCAAAAGTTAAAAAAAAATGTGGGGTGTTTAAAAAGTTATGTCAAAGTGGTACAGTTTCCATTGTCATGGTGAGTACCCCATGCTGTGCAACGTATACACACACACCTACACTCAATTCGGTGAAAAACAAAATGGTGGTGACCTATTAATATCGTCAAATCTTTCCCGCTTTCCCTTTCAGTCTCAAACTAACTGCAAGTGAGTGCGTCACTATCGGGATATTCCCATCATATTCTCTAAGAATCAACACGAATTTGAGACAACAGTCCAGTTCCAGTTGTGATCTTTTCCATTAGATTAAACAGATTTTCGGACACGTTGCAAACAAGACAATTCTAATTCTGTCCTTTTCTTTTTCGCTTAGGGTGCTCAGATGGCCATCTAATGGGTAAAACGGTGTTACAATTAGCTTTAGAGATCGGTTCGAAGGAGGTTAGAAGAAAAAAGCGTAGAAAATCGTTCGAACCGTTTTCCGAAGCAAAAAACATAAAAGTACTGCAACAATAAAAAAAAATGGTTTCATTATAATCGAAAAGTTGAAATGGATTTGTCTTACGAAAAGTAAGATGAAAAAAGATTATTTGAAATCGACAAATTGTTTTCATGGTTGACTCATTTGTCAAGCTGTAAGACAAAAAGAAACAAACATAAAAGGCAAGAATAAATATGAACATCCTAAGACGCAACGTTTTACAGTCCGAAATTAAACGAAAAATTAAGTCTTAAAGGAATGTAAAATGTTGCAAAGAAGGTAACGTTTTACGCGCCTTAACAAGTCTAAGAAAAAAAATAAATTGGTAAATTTCGTAAAACTGGTGAAATGTTATACGAACTTTTCAATTTTCAAGAAAACAAATTTATTTAAAGCGAGATGGCAATATATGACTTCTCGTTCTTAAACGAGCTTCAAATAGAAAGAGAAAGGCGATCGTGCTGGATTAGAAAAGAACAGCCAATAATAAATGATTTTCTGTAAATACATGATGTTAAATATAAAATAAATGCAATTGTTGATAACAATTTTTGACTTTTTGTATATTTTATGATTGTGGACGCCATTTTTTGTATGCAAAAGTAACGGAATATGTCTGGCTTTGTTGATCGTCCGTGCTGCCAGACTATCTGCAGTTGAAGTCTGTGGTTTAGGGAAACGGTAATACAAGAAACGGTTAACATTTTTCCGTTGGTGATGAGTAGTAGTAAGTACACCAACCATATTTAACAAATACATTATCGAGGATATACACCACAGTTAGCAGGGATAGCGATAGCTCTAGAGTCTGGCAACACTACTTTGCACTATTGAATGCCATTTCTCGAAATGAATGTTTCAAAATGTTCGTGTGTTTAAATCGATTTTTTAAAATCAAAAATAAAGCCACCAGATAAAGCTGCCATGCACCTGAACTCGACGTCGAGTTGGCTACGTAAAGTGATATAAGCTAGTGATTTTATTGTGGCACAAGTGCGTAAAAAGTCAACAAAAAGTCATAAGCTTTTCTTGTGTGTGTGTGTGTGTGGCAATACACACGTAACGTGCGCATGTGTGTGTGTGTGTGTGGACTACCTCATGAATGCAGTTTGCTGGTGTGTGTAATTGCCTTGAAAACACAAAATAATCTGCTTATAAAAAAAAAGAAAAGTGGAATACGGAGGTGCAAAAAAAGCAATTACGATTGTATACATAATATAAGGGCGCACATACATGCACATGCACACCGTTTACAGAGTGTTATTTTGGCTTTTGGCTGTTAAATCAGCAGTTCTCTTCTGTTAAGTGAACAGGGGCAGTGTGACCGCTTTGTCGATAATACCGCCGACAGTATGACCGCGCTAGCCAGAGCCAAGAGGCTCTTTGATTGCTATTAGAAAATCTCACATATGTATTTTTCTTTTATCCCCAATAAAAACAGCCAACACGCAGCGTTTAAATCAGCAGCGAAGTAAACAAGTTAGTGTTAAGTGTGCAACTGGTGCAAGAAATCGAAGAAAAACGTAATAGGCCACGCCACAACAACAATAACAGCAGCGACAACAACAACAAGGCTAAAAAGGGCTGCGCAAAAACGTAAACAAAAGCAAGTTGAAAACGGGGCAAAGGAAAAGGTCAGAGCAAAAGTAAAATACCAAAGGAAAGCCAGAGGAAAACAAAGCCACGAAAGCGAAGAACAAAGAGGGGAGCTCAATAGAAAAGGAACGGAAGTGGAGCGCGGAGGAGGCGAAAGAGCAAAAGAGGAACAGGAAGAGGAAGAGAGAAGGAGCAGCAGCTGAAGCAGAAGCAGAAGCGCAAAACAGAAACCGAAAAATGGACTCGGACAATGACAATGATTTCTGCGATAATGTCGATTCGGGCAACGTTTCGTCGGGCGACGATGGCGATGATGACTTTGGCATGGAGGTGGACCTTCCAAGTTCCGCGGAGCGCCAGCTGGACCAAGACGACTACCAGTACAAGGTGCTCACCACCGACGAGATTGTGCAACACCAGCGGGAGATCATCGACGATGTCAATCTGCTTCTAAAGGTATGGCAAAACGGAAAGAGTACGGTAGACACCCATCATGGTGAGCCTTAACTAACCTAATAAACTCAACTATTCCCCAATACAAACTACTATCACATAGGGACCAGTTTGAATACATTACTCAGTCAGTACAAACAAACGAATACAGTAAACCCATCCCACTGCGATTTATTCATTTTCCCTTTCCTTTTCTGAACAGTAAAGTGAGTGCTCCTCATTGGGAATATAGGAAAAGCGAAGCTCTAGCGCATATTTTATTAACTCAAACTAAAGTGATATATATTCGCTTTGGTTTCACTGTAAAATGCGGGGAACTCCCGCCATATTCTTTAAAGTCGTCTGTGTTTATCTTTTATACAGTAAAACATTCCTTAGAGAAAACATTAAAAACGAAATTGAGTATAGTTTTGATAAAAGACATCTCTTAAACACAGATATAATCTGGATTTGCTTACTTCTTTAAGCTATGGTTTTCAAATGAGTGAATCAAAAATTTCTATCTCAACACAGAGAATTTTATCAGTTTCAAGACTTTGTATCACAGTGCTCACTGTAGTGTATATAGTGGATTTGTGCATGTGTATCCGCGCATCTCGCGCTCACCTCTCCGTCTCTGCCCACCGCTCTGCCTGGGATCTGGGATGAGCTGAAGGTCGTCCGCTGATGGCTGCCAGTGCCAGTGAAATCGGAACACAAGCACCCAGGCGCACCCAAGGTCAGCAGATCCGCATCCCACATCCGCATCTGCAGCTGATTTGCCCAAAGTTGGCTAAGTTTTCGAGGGATTTCCTTGGAAAACCCAGAGTTTCAGGAATTTCCTTTGAAATTAAACAAGTTTTTACCAAATAGAAGACTCTCACTTGTGGGTTTGAAGCGTATCATAACTTTTCGGCCGTTGCTTTTTACAATTGTTGATAGAACAGGAAATTACAAAAATTACTTTCTTTGACATACAAGAATCAAAATCTGTCCAAACCACATCTCAAGTGAATTTTATTCAATTCATTGTTTAATTCCAATAAAATTTCAATTATAATCATTTAAGCAACGTAAAATCTTTCGAAACCGATTGTTGGTAATTTTTATTTATAAACGAAATTCACTTAAGTTGGGTGTTAAGTTACTGTGTAGACACGATTTTCGATTGATGCAAATATTTTCTGTAGCTAATTGTTGGATAAATAATACACTTTTGAAAACCTTTTGAATGTTTATGTTAAACATTTTTACATTTATGAATATACCTACATTTTGATGAGGTCTTAAAAAATTTAAACCACAATTGGTGGTAAGAAATCATCATCATCATCGACACAAGTTTAAATCTATTAAAACTTTCCACTGTTTGTAAAGATCTTTGAGATATAGTTGAGTTAGTTTAGAGTTGGTTCTGATAGTTGTTACACCCGACTACATTGTTGTTGTGATTTAACCACATCCGCAGCGACATCCGTCGGATGTTCATCCTAATGTAGCTTCAGCTGCTGATCGTTAATGATTTGGCATTGATTTCGAGGCCAACTGGGAATGCAGCCAGTACACTATTTTGCCACTTGCTAGTTCCATATATATATTAGCCATCATTCACTGACATTTGCTTTGTCTTGCGTTCTATGTCCACAGTTACCCACACCCATTACGCGGATACTGCTGAATCACTTCAAGTGGGACAAGGAAAAGCTCTTGGAGAAGTACTTCGACGACAACACCGAGGAGTTCTTCAAATGCGCACACGTCATAAATCCTTTCAACAAAGCCACCGAAGCGGTCAGACAAAAGGTGAGCACAAATTGCTAAGGTTCCATTTTATGTTCCATCTAATGTATTTCTTCTCCTCCATTTGTAGACCACCCGAAGTCAGTGCGAAGAGTGCGAAATATGCTTTTCATTGCTCCCGCCAGATGTAAGTTTGCCCGTGAGGAGGAACAAGTGCTTCCATGACCTAATTGTGATTTAGAAACTATTTTCTTACCAACTAACCACGAACATTGCTAGGGCTATATGTTCTGGTACCAAAAAGTACTGAAGTGCCTTATCTGATAATAATGCTCGGCCGTTGCTTAGCTGCAGGAATCTATAATATATAGAAAAAGACTTTATTTGTATTATATCAATTATTTTATTGCCTGGCCTTATCAATATTTTAGTAGTTGATTTATAATTTTTGATTGTTACTATTTATTTGAATTCCACTGACAGAATCTGGTTAAGTGTAGATTAGTCAACAGTTCAGGGTTTTATGCAGCTATGTACGACTTTAGATTGGATAATTGGGGTGTCGCCCCTGTTGTTAAAGTCAAGCATGCAAATTGCAAATTACGTTTTCTAGAAACTTTCACTTTTGCTAGATTTTCTGGATTTAGTTTTAGCCTAAAAGCCAATGCATTATAATTATTAGAAAAGAAATTCAAGGTTAGGGCTAGTAATTATGACGATTAGCTTAGTAACATCTAATAAATTAAAATTTATAAAAAGATATTATTGACAAATGTTTCCTTTTGTTTATCCCATTTAGTCTATGACCGGGCTGGAGTGCGGACACCGATTCTGCATGATCTGTTGGCGGGAGTATCTGACAACGAAGATCGTGACGGAGGGTCTGGGCCAGACCATCTCGTGCGCGGCGCACGGCTGTGATATACTGGTGGACGACGTGACCGTCACCAAGCTGGTGGTGGACGCACGGGTGCGGGTCAAATACCAGCAGCTGATCACCAATAGCTTTGTGGAGTGCAATCAGCTACTACGCTGGTGTCCGTCCGTCGACTGCACCAATGCGGTTAAGGTGCCGTATGCGGAGCCACGTCGCGTCCACTGCAAGTGCGGTCATGTCTTCTGCTTCGCCTGCGGAGAGAACTGGCACGATCCGGTCAAGTGCCGCTGGCTAAAGAAGTGGATCAAGAAGTGCGACGATGACTCGGAGACGTCCAACTGGATCGCGGCCAATACCAAAGAGTGTCCCAAGTGCAGCGTGACCATTGAGAAGGACGGTGGCTGCAATCACATGGTGTGCAAAAATCAGAATTGTAAGCACGAATTCTGTTGGGTCTGCCTCGGTTCTTGGGAGCCGCATGGCTCCTCTTGGTACAACTGCAATCGCTACGACGAGGACGAGGCCAAGACCGCTCGCGATGCCCAGGAGAAGCTGCGCTCCTCGTTGGCCAGGTGGGTTTTTAGCTGTTGCATATCCTTTTCAGATATTTAATAGATATAGGTAGCTGAGAATGCCCTTTAGTGCTTAATCATTCATATGTTTGTTTTATCTTCTAATTGCTCTTATTAGTGATAACGATTGCAGAGCCAAAGAAAGAAATGAATCAGCTATAATTTCCAATTTAATTTTATCGCTAGTAAACAAGTAGAGTTATCTACGTAGATTAAAAATGAAAGCACAGCAAAGTCAAACAAAAACAGAGTTAAGATAAAAAGTCATTCATGAATAAGAAATAAACTTTAGATACGAGTATACCATAAGTATGAGAGTTATATTATAAACTAATTAAAATATTTTATACCTAATAGATATCTCCACTACTACAATCGCTACATGAACCACATGCAGTCAATGAAGTTTGAGAACAAATTGTATGCATCTGTGAAGCAAAAAATGGAGGAGATGCAGCAGCACAACATGTCCTGGATTGAGGTAAGTAATGGAAATCCATAGCCAAATTACACAGACTAACCAAGCATATTGTAATTGCAGGTGCAATTTCTGAAAAAGGCTGTCGACATACTTTGCCAGTGCCGTCAGACTCTCATGTACACATACGTGTTTGCGTATTACTTGAAAAAGAACAATCAATCCATGATATTCGAGGATAATCAAAAGGACTTGGAGTCGGCAACCGAGACGTTGTCCGAGTATTTGGAACGTGATATTACATCCGAGAATTTGGCTGATATTAAGCAGAAAGTGCAAGATAAATACAGGTGTGTGAATGAGTTTGGTTTTAGGGATACCAAGAAGTTATCTAACTATTATATATTTCTTTTTAGGTATTGTGAAAAGCGGTGCTCTGTTCTGCTGAAGCATGTGCACGAGGGGTACGACAAGGATTGGTGGGAATACACAGAATGACGCGAGTCATGGCTGGATAACTAAGCTAAGCTGAGCGGCAGGCAGTAGGAGTGTAGTGCCCGCTAAACGCCTCCCCATCCAGCATCCCAAATGCACCAAACACTATCCTCCATCCCCACACCCATCCACATAATTACAAGCGCCCACCCATACCGAAACCGAAGCCGAAGAAGTTGAACAGAAGTTAAGAATAATGCAGAAAGCTAAAACAGAAAGGCAAAAGGAAAGAAAGATCAGAAGGACAACCACAGAATGTACACTCAAAAAGAATTTGCTAATCGGAATGTAAAACCATTTTAGAAGATTGTGAAACCAGAGAGAAATCAATATGAAATCGTAACACATAAATATATAATAATATATATTTTTCTTCGTAATGAGCAGCAGCAACAACAGAAGCATCAGGACACACTCGGACACACAAGCCCACTCACACAACCAGTCACAAGGATCAGCAACAGCAGCAGCATCAGCGGTATATATATATTATATATAGTAAATAATCAACAGTTACAAACTTATTTGATGTTAACCGATTGCAAAGAGATCTTCATGTTATCAAAAACTAAAGAAAAACGACTAAATAAAAAAGCGAACAATTAGTGAATTCAAAACTCCAAGAATGAGAAACCAGCAATAGAACCTACAATAATGTGAAATAAACTACAAATGTAAGCAGAAAGGACACTTGCCCAGCTTCCTTACCACCTGCCCAACTTCCTTCGACCGTTCTACGTACCGTTTTTAAAACCCATTTAGGCTTCAAGTTAGCATTATTGCTCTTTAGTTCCAATCTCAGACCCAGTTCGATTTCTAAATTTCGAATTTCTTCCAGATGTGTTAAGCCTTTATTTAATTAATTGATTTGCCTTATTCCTATTCTGTTTTCTGTTCAATAAACAATTGTGCCTAGCATATATGGAATGGAAACGTTTGCGATTCGATCGGATAAGCTTTGTTTTCGTGGCGGGAGCAGAGCTACGCCCCCATTCTTAGTTCGTAATGGCCTCTCGAATATTGTAAATGTTAAATGGAGCCCGGGTGGATCAAGATCAGTGCTCCCAACCGCGATAACCCAAGTGAACTTTGTTTTGCTCCAGCACAAATCGAAGAACATACCGAAATCCGAAAGAAACACACATACACTGAGTTATATAGACGAGATATGTATAGTTAATGGGGGAGGGAGGCTGGATCTAGGGATCCTTGGAGTACGTATATATCCTCCTTCTCCTTAAATCGTTGTATATAAGAGAGTTTTGTCCATGGTTTCCTAGCCCGCCCACAAAAAAAAATAAAAACAACACAAAATTGCGCACCTCAAACGCGTCAAGTACACCCAAAATCAAGTCGACTTGCCACGCCCCCGCTACGAAGGCGTTGGACCCTTTTACCGTGTTTCCGTTTTCAGCATTCTCTATATTCTTAACAACAATAAATAAAGAAAAACAATTATATTTATAAACAAAACTAAATGGAAAAACTCATTGAAATTAAATTGATGTAAAAAGTTAAAAGTTGTTCGAATTGAAAGAAAATGAAAAAATACCATAATGTGGAATAAAAAAAGATATATAAAAAAGCTGTAAAAATTATGAGAAACTATGTATGTATAATTAAAGATGAAATGTTGCAAAAATTAGTGAAAATAAAAATTTAAAAAATCCAGTTACCTGTTTTATGTTAAATTTATGTTAGTATTTCTTGGAAAGTATAATTCTAGGAATCATATTTATAATCTATATTTATTTACATTTAGTACTAATACATATATAGCCACGAGGAGTCCAAAAAATAAAAACTATAAAACCTCGTTGTTTATCATATCGTATCACGAGTTTACCATGATATTCACGAAAAAGCTGTTAAGTCCTATGTATTTCATTAGAACGTGCCGAAAAACAGTACTCACGTACAGTACTCACACCTCTAAGAATACCTCATAAGAACTAATCTGCTGATCGATTTACACCTGCTAAATGTTTCTGCTCGCCTGGTAATATCGAGAAATCTGGCAATTTGGTACATACACGTGCTGAGGGAAATTTTCGGATGTTTTTGTTAGTTCTTTGGTTTATAACTTAGTCAAAATAAGACGCACAGCCAAAAGACCGACTGTTTTCAGCAGCTAACGATCTCACCTTTCGATCCATATGACTGTGTGGCTAATTTTGGACAATTCATATTTCCATAAAATTTCGCATTTTTGATAAGGGGTGCCATCATCAAAATTCTCAAAAAATGCCCAAAAATTAAGTTTCCCAGATTTGAATGGAAACCAATTGGGAATCATGGCAATCAATTTACGAGCCCTACGAGGTATTACATTTCTCATTTGGAGCATTTTTGGCTTCGCTATGGCTAAGAAACTGATTTTTTTGCGCCCAAAATCAAGTATACGCCTTTTGACTACAGAAAGCCCGGCTTGTTGCAGTTCCTTAGCTCTAACTTTGTTAAAACAAGACGTACGGCTAAAACAACGACTGTTTTATGAAGCTAACTACCGAAACTTAAAGCCCCTATACTTGCTTTTATCATTATTGTTCTGATTTTTTGGTGCGATCTCTGTTTTAAGGGCTAAAAAATCAGGAAACCGATTTTTAACAGAAATTAGCAATATTATTTTCGGTTTTTTAGCTCTAGCTCGGTCGAAACAAAACGCACAGCCAAAAGAACGACTGTTTTGTGCTGCTAACGACCAATACTAACCACCCCTATCACCCGTTTTTCGATTTTGGGAAAGTCAATTTTGGCCCAAATTTCGCATTTTTGATAAGGGGTACCATCATCAAAATTCTCAAAAATGGGCCAAAAATGAAGTTTCCCAGAATTGAATGCAAACCAATTGGGAATCACGGCAATCAAGTTACGAGCCCTACGAGGTATTACATACCTCATTTGGAGCATTTTTGGCTTCGCTATGGCTAAGAAACTGATTTTTTTGCGCCCAAAATCAAGTATACGCCTTTTGACTGCAGAAAGCCCGGCTTGTTGCAGTTCCTTAGCTCTAACTTTGTTAAAACAGGACGTACGGCTAAAACAACGACTGTTTTATGAAGCTAACTACCGAAACTTAAAGCCCCTATACTTGCTTTTATCATTATTGCTCTGATTTTTCTGTGCGAGCTCTGATTTAAAGGCTAAAAAATCAAAAAACTATTATTAACAGAAATGTGCAATATTATTTTCGGATTTGTAGCTCTAGCTCGGTCAAATCAAGACGTTCAGCCAAAAGAACGACTGTTTTGTGCTGCTAATGACCAATACTAACCACCCCTATCACCCGTTTTTCGATTTTGGGAAAGTCAATTTTGGCCCAAATTTCGTATTTTTGATAAGGGGTACCATCATCAAAATTCTCAAAAATGGGCCAAAAATGAAGTTTCCCAGATTTGAATGCAAACCAATTGGGAATCATGGCAATCAATTTACGAGCCATACGAGGTATTACATTCGTCATTTGGAGCATTTTTGGCTTCGCTATGGCTAAGAAACTGATTTTTTTGCGCCCAAAATCAAGTATACGCCTTTTGACTGCAGAAAGCCCGGCTTGTTGCAGTTCCTTAGCTCTAACTTTGTTAAAACAGGACGTACGGCTAAAACAACGACTGTTTTATGAAGCTAACTACCGAAACTTAAAGCCCCTATACTTGCTTTTATCATTATTGCTCTGATTTTTCTGTGCGAGCTCTGATTTAAAGGCTAAAAAATCAAAAAACTATTATTAACAGAAATGTGCAATATTATTTTCGGATTTGTAGCTCTAGCTCGGTCAAATCAAGACGTTCAGCCAAAAGAACGACTGTTTTGTGCTGCTAATGACCAATACTAACCACCCCTATCACCCGTTTTTCGATTTTGGGAAAGTCAATTTTGGCCCAAATTTCGTATTTTTGATAAGGGGTACCATCATCAAAATTCTCAAAAATGGGCCAAAAATGAAGTTTCCCAGATTTGAATGCAAACCAATTGGGAATCATGGCAATCAAGTTACGAGCCCTACGAGGTATTACATTCCTCTTTTGGAGCATTTTTGGCTTCGCTATGGCTAAGAAACTGATTTTTTTGCTCCCAAAATTACGTATACGTCTGTTGACAGCAGAGAGCCTGGTTTTGCTGCACTTTCTTAGCTCTAACGTTGTCAAAAAAAGACGCACAGCCAAAAGAAATACTGTTTCGTGCTGCTAACGACCAATACTAACCACCCCTATCACCCGTTTTTCGATTTTGGGAAAGTCAATTTTGGCCCAAATTTCGCATTTTTGATAAGGGGTACCATCATCAAAATTCTCAAAAATGGGCCAAAAATGAAGTTTCCCAGATTTGAATGCAAACCAATTGGGAATCATGGCAATCAATTTACGAGCCATACGAGGTATTACATTCGTCATTTGGAGCATTTTTGGCTTCGCTATGGCTAAGAAACTGATTTTTTTGTGCCCAAAATCAAGTATACGCCTTTTGACTGCAGAAAGCCCGGCTTGTTGCAGTTCCTTAGCTCTAACTTTGTTAAAACAAGACGTACGGCTAAAACAACGACTGTTTTATGAAGCTAACTACCGAAACTTAAAGCCCCTATACTTGCTTTTATCATTATTGTTCTGATTTTTTGGTGCGATCTCTGTTTTAAGGGCTAAAAAATCAGGAAATCGATTTTTAACAGAAATTAGCAATATTATTTTCGGTTTTTTAGCTCTAGCTCGGTCGAAACAAAACGCACAGCCAAAAGAACGACTGTTTTGTGCTGCTAACGACCAATACTAACCACCCCTATCACCCGTTTTTCGATTTTGGGAAAGTCAATTTTGGCCCAAATTTCGCATTTTTGATAAGGGGTACCATCATCAAAATTCTCAAAAATGGGCCAAAAATGAAGTTTCCCAGAATTGAATGCAAACCAATTGGGAATCACGGCAATCAAGTTACGAGCCCTACGAGGTATTACATACCTCATTTGGAGCATTTTTGGCTTCGCTATGGCTAAGAAACTGATTTTTTTGTGCCCAAAATCAAGTATACGCCTTTTGACAGCAGAAAGCTCGGCGATGAAACGATATGGTTAACAACGTGATTGCCCATCTCTAATTTGGTGTTTTGGTTGTAAAGCAGCGGTTCTTTTTCAGGGAAAGCTGGATAGGGCAGCAATTTTTAAATGGCAGCTATCTTGACAAAAACAAAGCTCACAGAAAACAGAAGTTGCTTGCTGCGGTTTTTGTTTTCCTGGTAGGTGAAATCCCAATAAGGCGAATTTGATGGAGAAAAAATAATTTTTTGGTCAAAAATTTCAACGAATTTTGACTAGCTGATGCCTTTGAAATACCAGGCGAACAGAATCGAGTAGTAGGTGGAAATCGCTAAATTTATGAGCTCCTCTTAGGGATGGCCATGTGAGCAGTGGTATTCGACACTATCGAATGAAATACATAGAATTTAATTGCTTTTTCGGGCCCTTCGTGCTAAAGTCGTGAGACTACACAAAAAACAACGTGGTTGCTCATCTCTTGTTTATGTTTTGGGCTGCAGACTAACGGTTCCCATCCAGACATGAGTGACACTTAGGGATGGCCATGTGAGCAGTGGTATTCGACACTATCGAATGAAATACATAGGATTTAATTGCTTTTCGTGATTATCGTGCTAAACTCGTGAGACTACACAAAAAACAACGTGGTTGCTCATCTCTTGTTTATGTTTTGGGCTGCAGACTAACGGTTCCCATCCAGACATGAGTGACACTTAGGGATGGCCATGTGAGCAGTGGTATTCGACACTATCGAATGAAATACATAGAATTTAATTGCTTTTTCGGGCCCTTCGAGCTAAAGTCGTGAGACGACGCAGAAATCAACGTGGTTGCTCATCTCTTGTTTATGTTTTGGTCTGCAGTGGCAACCATCTTAAAATGGTAGCCATTTTGAAAAGGCAGCCATCTTGAAAAAAAACACAGGCTCCCAGAAAACAGTAGCTGTTTGCTGCGGTTTCTGTTCGCCTGGTATCTGAACTCCCAAAATTATCAATTTGACTAAGGAAAATGATTTTTTTGATCAAAATATCAACGCATTTTGGTTAGCTGATGCTTTTAAAATAACAGGCGAACAGAATCGAATAGCAGGTGGAAATCGATATATCTATGAGCTTCATTTAGAGATGGCCATGTGAGTAGTGGTTTTCGGCACGATCGAATCAATTACATGGGACTTTAATATTATTTCGCGATTGTCGTGCCAAACTCGTGATACGATATGGTAAACAACGTGGTTGCCCATCTCTATTTTGTTGTTTTGGTAGCAAAGCAACGGTTGTTTCTAAAAATAATGATGGCTGCTAGTGGCAGCCATCTTGAAAATATTTAATCTCGTAGAAAACAGAAGCTGCTTGCTGCGGTTTCTGTTCGCCTGGTATCTGAACTCCCAAAATTGCCAATTTTACGATGAAAAATTACTTTTCAGCGATGAAATTCGACGTTTTAGTTAAAAAATACCAGGAGATCATAATGGTCAGAAGGCGGACAGGTGGCAGCTGAAAATAAAAGAAGCATCTTGCTACGATTTCTGTTCGCCTGGTAAAAAAAAAATCGGAAACCAACTAAATTGCCTTTTTCCGAGTTGAGATGCGGCCAAAATCTGTAGGTTTCTCGAAATGAAATACCAGGCGAACAGAAATCATAG